GCTAGTGAGCAAGGTTACTAGATTAATGAAATAACCTAGATTATTTACATTGAGTCACATGCGGGAATTGGCTAATTCAACACAATCCGGCCAAAATGATGGAAAGCATAGAGGCCAAAAATAGGGAATTTTACAGTTGCAGTGCAAAACAACGCGAGGAAATGGTGAGGCTTAATTTATGCACAATTATTCTATTTTTATCTTTTTAAAATGAAAGTAAACGCACCTAATTATAATCTTAAGTTAGCTAAGGAGCTTCTGTATCTGTTGTCATGATCACCCCTGAATGCCATAATTCTCGGAAAATAACTTCACAGAACCCCCTTTCCTGTTCCTTCATTTTTTCTCGATTTCTTGCAAATTTCAAATTATCCAATAACCCTAAACATCTTATCTACATTGTACACATAGGTATGATGTTTATTTGAATTTTGAATTCTTGCATTTACAATTTTAAGCAGTTTAATTTACAATTCAGGTCTCCTCCCAAAAATGACACTTTTTTTCACTTTGCTCATATGTACATCATCATCGAATCAATGGAGATGTTGATTCACAGACTGATCTATTTTTACGATTTCCTGTTTTCCCAAATAATGTTTTTAATCTAAGGACGAAGCTATATCTGTAATGGGATTCCTTTTCAGTTATGTTCCTCTGAATGAGCCTCATTTGCCCCCTCTTTCTGTTATTGAAAATTATTTTAATCTTGTTTTAGGTTAATCCTCAGGGACTCAGAGTAAGAAATGTTTCTGCGCAGCGGTCCACACTGCTGTGTCATGGTTTTTGTGATTACGTTGATAGAGTTTATACAGTTTTCCTTGAGCCAGTGAGTCAATGCAGAAATTAAAGAAAGTTTAGTCAAAATTGAAGAGTCATGAGATGTTAGTGGAATATTCTTCTTCCTATTGACACCAAAAAAGATGAGAGGTGTAATTTTTACAGCATTAAAACTTGATATCAGATAAAAGTTGGGCCAGGTGAAATGACTTTGATGAGACAAAGTCTTTAAAAATTTCAAGCCGTAATGTTGGTTTGGTCTCCTAATGAAAAATAAAATAAAAGTGGAGATTTTAAAACATCCACCCCGAGAAACGTATTTTTGTAGTTTCACCGTCAGTACGCTGCTAGAAATTTTAAGTCTTAGAATTAAGTATCTGCTGCACCATTATAACAATCGCTGATTTCATAGTCACATTTTAGTTTTGCAACAAGCTGGGTTTTTTTTTCGGAATTAACACAGAGGATTCACCTCAAACAGGAAAATGATTTTCGATTTGATTCGTTTCACTTCTCCTTTTATGTATACCATGTAGAAAAATAGTTGAAATGGTTTAGAAAAATTATGTTTAACCCCACAAATTTTATACCCTCATTTTTTACCTATTTTTCCAGTTCACTTTTTTGGTTACCCTTTGCGCTGATATTTTTGTCACAAGATATGTTCAGAAAGTATTTAACTTTTTTTAGTGCAAATTTAGTGCAGTTCCAGTGCAATATCTTTAATGATTCTTGTCCTCTATCTGTTGTAAAAAATAAAGCTCCTGAATTTGAGCAATGTTGTGAAAATTTAGTTATGCTATTGTGTTTGTAATGGTTCATTGACCTAGACACTTATACCTGAAATCGCCGTAGTACAGCATGTAGTTTCTAAACTCTTTTTTGCTTGTAATGGAGCAAAAAATAATTGAATTTGGAGCACTGATAGTGTATCTTAATGCTAACTGTAGCAATATTGGGGGGATTTAACATTTAACTGAAATCAGACTAACTACATCAGATGCTGCCTGATTTTCTCTACACTTAATTATATTAACAAAAAACTTAGCAACATTTGATTTCGAAATTTAGTGAATGCATTTAATGTTATAAATAGAAAATTCTCAGAAAATTTTGCTGTGTTCTGTTACATTGTATTCTATTAAAAAAAAATATGAGAGAATCAGGCGACAGGAAATTCAGTTAGGTTAATTCTGATTAAATGTGTCTAGTTATACCATAGTTTAAATTCTACACTGATGAAATATTTTTCAAAATGATACTGGAAAAGTATTGATTCTCTCTGTCTCTTGAAAGGTATTTTACATTTTGTCAACTTTATTTAGCCACATCCTTTTCTTCCTTTTTAATTATTTTTTCAACTGACAGTATGATTGATTAGAAACAAAAAATACGTATCAAATGGAACGGGGCAGTGGTTCCTTTTGATTGATTTTCTTAATTTAAGGGTGTTTAGATAATGTAGATAATGCGCAAAAAACTAAAATAACCAGTATGCAAAATCTCGCAGCTGACGCAATTACCCATGATATGCATTTAGACTTGAACGAAGACCTCCGTCCGGAGGTTTGTCAAGTATTCAGCCTGACCTTGGTCACACCTCGCATCACAGTGTTCTACGGACAGTGAAAAAGCCTTCTTATATCAACGTTTAAGGCTCTAAAAACGAAAAGAAAAGTCGATTCTGTGAACAAACCAGAAGTACTCATGACTTTTATCGCTTTTAGATCTCAGTTTAGTTTTCAATTATTCTGCCGAGGATAGAATTCAAGAGCATTTTTCTGTTACACGATTTTTACAGTTTTTTTAATAGTACATACTTGTAGTTAAATACTAATTTTGGACCTTTCCTCACAGAGTTATTAATAAGATTTTGTTATGTATGATATTTTACTTTTCCCAACTGTTGAATATGTATAGATTAATGTATGATAAAGACATTTTATGGTTTTATAAATTGAATTCCTTGTTTGAATAAACACACTATAAAATTAATCATACTTAATATTATTTGTGCAATTCTTTTGCAATGTCTATATTAGAATGTATAAAATCAAAACACAATAATTTAAAAAAATTAATTTTATTCAAAAAAAATGATGCAATTTTTTTTAAAAAATAATCAAGGAATAAAAAAATAAAAATCTAATTCATTTACATCCATTCGAAATATAATGAAATCAACCAGTAGGTAAAGTGTTTGACAATTTGATTTCGAGTAATTGCCTAAATTTTTATACGATTACTATTATCAGTCTTTTGAGTCTTGAACAAATAGGTGTTCGAAATGAATTCAGCAATAGGATGCATAAAGAATGAAGCAACATTAAATGTGATCTTTTAAGAGGTGCCATTGGATGGGAGAGAATTAGGTTTCTATGGCTAACACTTTTAAAGTTTTCTCTGAAAAGTTATGTAAAAAACACACAGACATGCTACATGCTGTATAATTTATATGGAGATTTTTGAGTCATGCTTGCTGACTTTATTAAACTGTGCCTCTTGCGAGACTTTGATCTCATAAGTTACATGATACAAGACATTCAGAATCAATCTGTTAGCTAATAAAATACTGGAAAGGAAAGAGATTAAGGACATGAATCTCTCACCTTAATCCACACAAGACATCTTATTACTTCTACGTAAAACTAAAGATATGATAAATAACGGTAAGATAAATTCAAATCGCTGAACTGCATTGTGTGCATATTTCCTGCAATTTCATTTTCATTTAACATTGATTTCAAAACCAATCTCCGGATTTTTAGGCTCCTGCAACCACCTATGTCTCTCAAAATTCAAGAGCTTTGGATCCCAAAAAAGCATCAGGGGTGCAGAAAGTTTTTGCACCTCCCATTTCTTGGACTGGCCTTTCTATCGAAAGAACCCCTTTTCCCAAAATTGTCTATATTCTGACCCTCTTCCGTCCTCAATTTACAAATTGCCGCAATTTTAACGCTCTTGTGAGCTGGCGTTCCCAATTTTCACAGCCTTCCCATTTTTTCGCGAAAGCGGCCTTGTGATCATGATTGGGAGGTTTCTGCACCCCTGAAGAGGAAAAAATAAATCGGCCAATTGATGGCTCACAAAAAAAGAAAAGACCAAGATTCTTTCCTGTCCGAAGCAAGAAGACTTATTCTGACCAAAATGTAACATCGGAGGAAATTACGAGTAGTCAATGCAGTTCAATTGTCTAAGCAATAAATAAATGTAGAGCTAAGGCTGCTCAGGTAAAATCAAACAAACACAAACAACTATTTACAAACATTTAGCTTCACTATTATGAAAAGGAATAAATAAGGATTCATTTCCAGTGATAGAAAATCCTCTTAAAATACGACATGGTTCTTCAGTAAATTCGAGTTTAGGTTGTAATCAACACTAACTTGAATGATTAAATGACATAAGAGAAAAATGGAACACAGAACAGAAGGATAAGTATTATCGCTGCAGCTGTTTTCTTGGTCCCCTAATTAGACCCAGGCACGTTCGAGAGAAATATTGGATCCAATGTGTGAACAAACACTGGAGTAAGAATTAGGTGTAAAAAACAGCAATAAAAATTATTTTTAAAATCTACACACTAAGCTTCATTAAAAAATTCAGAGTAATATTTTCCCTCAGTACTGTTTACTATGGAATAGGCCCTGTTTATCTAGCCCTCAGAATATCAGACAGGCAATGAAAAAAGATGAAATAAACATTTGGTGTGTAACAGACCAATTGTCAAAATTCAAATCATACACTCGTATCATTTCATTTAACTGTCATTTTCAAATTCGAAGACAAATCATGATTAAAAGGCTACAGATATTCTAGTGCTTCAAAATATTTAATATTAGGTTCTAGGGGTGCTGAAATGAAGCGTCCTTGATGGATTGGTTGCGGTGTAAACACCAGAGGATGTAAAAAAAACATTAAGATAGCAATAGATTGATAAGGGAATTTCGATTTCAGCTGAACAGAGAATTTGCAGGTGTCTTAAATTTTGTGAATTTCATCTTTAAAATGATACTGCTAGGAAAACTGAGTACGAGGATATCCTTGGTTTCAAATTTGAACAATTAATGGAGAAGATATGACAAAATAACCTTATCTGCTAAAATACATGTGTTTAAATGGAAAATGCCGCCAGATGATGTCACAAGGCGGCAAATTTTCTCACTTTTAAAACTATTTTTCTCCAATTTCCAATTGCAGAAAAAAATTATGAAAAATACTGCGAACTCAGCTCATTAGGCACTCTCAGATGAAGCAATAAAATGTTTGTGTATACATTTTCCATTACTTTATTTTGTTCAGCAGCAAATTTCGATTTTCTTTCGCCAAAATATTTTTTGAGGAACATTAGATTACATGGGCTACAACTATCCAAACATGAACTAAAAAAACTCTTAATTTGATTAAATCAAACTGAACGTTTTTGTTTGGTTATTTGTCATTTCAATCAAGGATTTTAAAAGGCCACTTTTACAGAGAAAATAGCTGATAGATACCTCAGGAAGTAACAGATTCAATAGTAGCTTGAACTTGAACATTAAATCGGTATTTTATTCGAGTGTGCATGATATCTTGATGTTAACCTACGTTTTCTGAAGAATCATATTAAAGCCGAAACATTCTAGAGAGGTAAATGCATCAAAATTTCGGAGTACAGATGAATTTAAAATTCAAAGGATAAGTATCTTAATAAGTCAAACAAACTATCTAAAAGTGCCAAATACTAATGAGGTTACAGGGCGCAGATGGGTCATATTCCCTAATTATTTACACTAATTAATGAAAGTCAATGTAACTGTATAAAATAGTTACAACTTAATACCTACTGACAAGTTAAATAGATTTCAAGTTTTTCTTGTCTTTTGACTCAGGAAGAAAAAATTGTCTCTACTTTTTGGTCTTATTTTAAAATGAGTGAACATTTGATAATGACTATTTGTGAATTTTATGACCTCCAGGGTCTATTCATTTCTTGACTGTCACCTGTTTTATTAAATAAAATATTATCTAAACAATTTGAGCATTTTTAAACAAAAATTGTTGAGCATTCACTCAGGCATGCAACTTTTAAAAGTAGATTAAAAATGCACGAAAAATAATTAGTCGAGATCATGCGAACATTTCTAAGGATACTTCCTCGATAAAAAAGTATAAAACCATTTTCAATACTATTCAACTCCTCAAATGAGGACGAAATAATTAAATAATAGGAATGTCAGAGTAATTAACCTAAAATTTTGATTCATTGAAGGTCTCTTTACTTATCATACAGGACTTTCTTATCTGCTAGGATATCTGATAGCAGCGTCTTATCTTGTAAAATTGCCATCAGTTCTTCCTTGTCCCACTGCAAGCTTACCTACAAGAAAAAATAGCCTATGTTACAAAGAAATATCCAAATTTACAATGATGTAAGAATGGCATGACAAGTAACAAATATGAAAACATCATAAATAGGTACTAAATCAATAGTCAAACTTCACTCCAAAATTTTAGAAGCTTCAAAGGTTTCTGAAATAAATACATACACTAGAGCATAAACCTTGCAGGCAGCAAGGACGCAACAGGAATTCATCCCATACACCGATGTATACAATGTCACAATGTGCTTCAGCACCTCTGATTAAGGTGCTGAATTGTAATTCTTCACCACTCTCTCCTCGCAGTGCTCGATGAAATTGAAACACCGTAATAATAATCTTCAGAAAATAGACTAAAAATATTCAACATATATTCCAAGGTAAGATAATGCAATACAGTACTCTCTTTTTAAAGGCAAGATTGTCTCAAAGACTCCCTGATTTAAGTTCAGAGGAACTTAATTGAAAGGTTTTTAACTTTCCAGCTTTTCTTGACAGCGAATGTTTTAATAAATTGTTGAAAAAAGCTAATAGTTCTATGGTGCTGAGACATATTACTGAAAGATTTTAGGGTTTTCAACACGAAAATGATATAGAAGCAAAAAATTACCTTTGACTGTCGATTACGAGTTTTGCTGTGAATTTTAAGGATTCCTCGGGCTTGAACAAGATCGCAAAGGGAGATGAACTCGGATAAATCGACACCACCAAGCCTTTGCTTTGAGCAGACTTTGCGGAACACATCATACAACTAAGAAAAAAAAAAATATTTGGTTAGTTCGGTTCTTCCTTGAGAAATATCAACGCTACCTATAATTGTGTCAGTTACTTTTTTTTGCGCTGATTTCAAAGACAGAATGAACCTTGGCTCGTCCTAATTGAGACTAACTAATTAGATGCTATTGGGACCATTTTGTTTTTCATTTTAGCAGGAACAGTACAAATTTTTCGTGCTTTTACATTTGCAAATTTAAACAATAAAGGTGTTCCAAAGCTTCATTTGTCCTTTCATGTCAGAGGAGGACCACTTAACTATTTAATTATTAAAAACCAAACTTTTTTCCTCCATCAAAACAGAGAAGATTTAAGGAGTAAAAATAAGAGGAAGTGAAACTTTTAAAAGATGGATTTGCAAAATGATCAAAAAAGAATTTTTCTGCAAAAGCTAAAGATGTACTGCTATTCCGAGATTTCTTACAGAGACAACTAATTCATCTTAAAATGTGTGGGCTGTGGGCCTTCATTTTATTTTCAACAGTGTATGAGCTGGCCCATTACTTACAAAAAAAGATGAAATAAGTACAAACTTTGGCAATTGACAAACAAAAACAGATATAAAGTAATCATTTAACAAAGTATGAGTTAACGTAACTGCAGCTAAATGCAGAGAGAAAGAAGAAAGATTATAACAACACATGACAGCAATATTAGCCGCAATAGCAAGGTTTTTAACAAATTAAAATTCCAGAGTAGATGAACCTAAATACTCTACAAACATGGAGATAAGTATGTGAAAAATATCTACGTCTCCAACTGTATTTTTAGCTGAACATCATTGCCAGCCTTTCCATTTTTCCCAATTTCCACACCTACCCACAACTCAAGGAAGCCATCTTTGATGACGATTTCTACGATTTTACCGCTGAATACTAGATCACAAACCTATTGTACAGTTTGGTAAGATTCCTATGGTTCAACACGGTGAAGCACGTTCTATGAGCCTTCTCACATTTTTTCCTGCATTAAATGTTGCTCCAGCATCTATAAATTTTGACCTCAAAATTACTTCATAATAATTAGAAAGCTTTAAGAAAAAGGTTAATATTCAAATTCTGTTAATTTTTTTGCTGAATAGATGCTGACTAGGCTAAAGATCGAATTACCTTTCCTAATGTGATGTCCAGTTTCTTGGTTTCATGGTCCATCATGAGAAGGAGAGAACAAACTATCAACTGTTGCTGAAGAGGTAGAGATGGTTGCGAACCAGTCACAGCGTTCAAAACTTGACTCGTTCCGTAAACGGAATTGATGGTCGTCAGGACTTCTTTTAATTCAATTTTGTCAAGGGAAGCAACGCTGCTGCTTGAAACTGTGAGAAGATTGGCAACATTAATATGACTCAATCGAAAAATAACTAACACTCTTGTATGGACTAAACAATGTTTCAGAGTGTCTACTGGAATTTCATTTTGGATGTTTCTGATTTTTTCTGATATTTTTAACGAAAGTTGCTGATTTTTCGCATGAATAAATGGCCACCCTGTTTGATTTTACTAACCAACATAATTAATTAATTGAATAAAAGATTCTCTTTTTGCATGCACTAAATTTTATGTGCTTGAGAGATGCTTGACACACTCAGATGTTCCTGACGCATGACCGATTCTCCTAATTTTTCCTGATGGCATCAACTTTACTGATATTTTCCAGCTTTTTTGTTTTTTGCTGACGCTAGACATCATACCAAAGAAATGACTTGTAGTCACATTGAGCACGTAAATAATCAGAGTCATCAACACATACAAAAGCATTTCAGTCCTGGCAAAAAAAATCTCAAAAAGAGAAGGAGCAGTAGATCATATGAGAACAATTTTGGTGGCTTTGCATTCAACTTGTATCGTGAACATTTTTTTTAACAAAATCTCCTTGATTTAAAAAAAATACAGTAAAGTCATTACCAAAACAAAGGAGCACGGATAATAAACATTCATTAAAACCTCCTTTGTCAATTTTTTGCTACTTATGAGTTTTGAAAAATAGAAATAAAAAACTCATATCGAGTAGAAAAATGGAAGGGCCTGAAAATTTATCTTACCATTGTTAGAGCTTGGTTGTAAAACAGAGCTTTTGGATTTGTTCTCAGCTAAATCTACTGCGCATCTAGCAACATCCAATGCTTTACGCACATCACCTGAGACTGCTGCTACTTTGGCCGCGAGTAAATTTAAAGCATTGTCATCAAATAAATATGAGATATTACCCTGAAAACACAACAATCGATTAAATTGTTAAGTAAAAAACCAAAGGTTGAGAATGCATACAGGCTCCTTTGACAAAAGAAAAAGGAGTTTGGCCGAAGTTACTTATGGTTTTTTGAATTGAGTTTGGCATTATTTAGACCGCCTGGAGGTTAGGCTCACTTTTTTTTTTCAAAGAATTTTCCGAAGACAAACTTTCCTGAGGGCTTGATCGTTTGATGAAAATTAAAGAGCTTTTGACGGGGGAAATGATGCACCACAGAAAAAGAGTACATTCAAAGGTAGCAAAGATAATTGAGGAATTGAGTGTGAAAAGGGTGTTTCTATAATTCCGTGTTTGAGAATCTTCTTTTATGTTCCTTATCGTAACGGGGGAAAAAAATGCTAGTAGAGAGATGGGACTTTCACAAGCTATTCTGTATAATTTAAGCGTTGTCTTTGGCATGAACCTAGTTTAATGAGCTGGTAGTTTTTGCACACAAAAAAAAATTGTCGGTGGCGATTCTTAAACATCATAAAAAAAGAGTTTCCTTTATGCACCTTAGTTCTCGATAAATAACTAAGCTGATTGAAATTTTTGAAAATTAAAAAAGAGATTTTTACAAAATCACTCATAGTCCAAAAAACTTGGTGCAGTGATAAAGTTTGATCGCAAAATTAGGCTGAAGAAAGAATCAGTAGCATCAGTGTTCCTGCCTTTTTGCGCTCAAGTTTTTCATTCCGTTTAAAAGTCTTTTTAGGAAGAAATTGCAGTTTCTTACCTCTTTAAATCTTTCGCAAATGATATCAATAATCTGTTGTTTTGTGTACGGTGCAAAGTGAAGCAGCTGCGGTTGCTTTTCAAGCTTGGCTTGCAGTCGTGGCAAAACTCGGTCAGTTAAATCTAAGGCATTGGCTATACCAACTAAGACCAGCTTGGCATCCGGTAATGAGGGCCATTCAAAAATTGAGTACAAAACGTTCTGCTTCTTGGTCTCCAATTGATCGATTTCGTCAAGTATCAATAGACTGAAAGAAAAGGAAAATTTATGAACTTGAGGATGAGAGTGAATCATCAGCTTCAGTACAACATATATTAGGTTCGATTGATTTATTTTAAATTTCAACTACACAGGAAAGTACTTTGGAAAAATTGAAAGTTCAGTCTTTGCGTCAATCAATAAAAATTTGTTATCGAAAATCACCTTTCTAACTCTTGAAATGAAGTTGAAAGAACTATTTCCAACTTGACACCGATCTCAATATATTCAAATCGGTTGAGAATTGGAAACAATATTTTTGAATTTATTTTGAGGTTTCAGAAGACACAGCGCTGCAAATCTACTTTGACAGTTGTATTCGTGTTTAAGATACACATAGAAATAAAGACAATATCACTTGGGCATGGTTATAACGGTTGACATCGTAATTTTATCCAACGTAAAAAGAGTGATCTATAGATTCTTCGCCACCAGCAACTGACATCACCTTTGTAACTTTCGAACAAATTGAGATAGAGACTTGAAATTTCGTGAATGATCCTAGGTCAAAGGAAACAACGTGCTGAGACCCTCTAAAATTTTAAGGGGATCACCTTGAGAGGTGGCAAGAACCCTGGAGGCTATGGAGGGGGTGCGGGACTTTTGGATCACTCTGTAAATACAACCATTGACTGTAAAGATAAATGGTTTAATGTTTAAAATGAAATAGCAAAGTTATTCACTCACATCATTTTATGTTCACTGATCAGGTACTTCCGAATCTTCGTCAAATATTCTTTTTCAGATCTGCCGGAAACTTTCAGAGAAAGTTCTTCACATATCCTACCATAAATCGCAACTGCAGACTGCATGTAGGAACAATTCACCGACACAATTTTGAAATTTGACTTTATCTGAAAAGAGAGAAAAGAACACAAGATTATCAATAGTGCTCTGCTTCTTATAATAAGCAATTTTTTTTTTAATTAAATACCTACAGATTATTTAGACCAGAAATATCTTAAATTGTGCAAAATAATTATGATTGCAGAAGATTGGCCCTTGATAATAATAAAATTTATGCGTCAAAAATGTTCATACAGGCGAACAAATGCGTCAACAATATGTTTTTTAACTTTGAACGAACAAACAAATGAGAGTCTTATTTCTACATTATAAAACAACTAATTTCACTAAGTCGGTTCATTGATTGAATAAAATGTCTTGTCAATTGAGTAATTTTTTATTCCTCTAGAAAATATCTTGTTATCTGTCATATCTGTGATGGATGGAAGGGCATTAAACCATTTCAGACATTGCACTACATAGAGCTGTTATCTTTCGGCATTAGAAATTAGTTTTTATTCCTGTTATTTGTGTTAATACTATGCACGTCCAACGGTTTTTCAACTTTGTTGGCATTTTGGTACTTAAACGTTGCTCTTTTCAAAATTATCATTGAAGTTCCCTTCAATGATAATTTTGAAAAGAGCAACGTTTATATGCGTTAAATATGTCAATAAATTGCTCATTATAATAAAATTCTAGAACTCTGGTACTGACTAGAAAATATTTTTCTGAGCGTTGACGAAAGAAGACTGCAGGAAAAACATAGAAAAAGACAGGCTTTACACATTGTTGCTAGTTTATTACATCCTTCACTTCGTCGCTTGAGCTTTTCAAGAAATTCTAGCTTACCTTTTCTTCTGTCAACAGATGTGTGAGGCATGCAGTTTTTCCTGTCCCAGGTTGGCCAGAAACATACATTGCTCCGGAGGTCTCATTTTCTAAATGGGATTCCAAAAATGATCTCATTTCATTTAGTTCCTTGTCTCGCCCAGGTAAGGATGATGTGGCACTTCCATGAAGGACTTTGCGGGCCAATTTAAATCCATTTTCTGATGATTAAACAAGAAGAAAGTCTAGACTAAGAACTTTACTATGAAATACTTACTTACAAAAACAATTGTATTCAGCTACTTGGACGTAAGAATTGAAACATGTTATACTCGCACCAATAATTGATGTTATGATTGTTGTAGTTGATAGATATTGAAAGCTTAATTATTAAGCTGTCAATACATTTCAGTATCGATTCAAATACGGTGCTGTATTAATTAGTATCAGCCAACATCTTTCTAGCTCATGAAAATTTATCATATTGTTTTTACAGCGATTTAGGGAAAAATAATTACCTACAACACTCCAAGTAATGAAAAAGCAACGCTCACAGAAGGGACAATTACTAGTAAGGATTGGTATAAAATTCATCCGACATTAAATTTGTAGGCAGCACAAGAAATTTTTCCTCTATGTTAAATGAATTGCTGATTTGCAAAGGGCCTGAAGGATGGGTTCTTGTGCGTGTCAGGGATTTAAGTACTCTGTATATTAATCTAAATACAGCGCAACATTTTTCAAAGTTCCCGATGTTTAATGCTCTCAGATACATGAATTGAATGAATTAACAACAGCTCTTTAAGATATATCAATCATTGGCGATGTAAACTTGCTCATTCAGGTTTGAAGTGAATACCTTTGGGTGGTGAAATGTCTTCAGCAGTCTGCTTTGATGAAGAGTAGGGCCTTTTCGGTGGCCGAGGGGTGTCAATGTGGACGTAATTTTCTGCTTCGGAGGTTAACTTGTAGGGGGTAGCGACTGGGGCTGGTTTCTTACAAGGAGTATTGTCATTCTCTTTGTTGCGTTTGCCTTTTGGAGTGCCACTCCTTGTGACGCGAAAATGTATGTTCAATTGTGACTGCTTGGTTGGAGACATGTTTGATGTTCAGGATCCTGAAATGAGAATAGAATACATCTCTGGTCAATAGGTGTGATGAGAAACGGCCAACACACTGAGGATTCAAAATACTTATGTCAGTAGTTTTATAATTATGTTGAAAAAATGAGATGATGGAATCTTTCTAACTTCATCTCCATGAAAAGACGAAGCAAGATAGAGAAGTTTCAGCCCCAATGTAAATGCACGAATGGAGGTACTTAAGAATTAAATTATATTAGTGGCAATACTTGAGCAATGTGCAATTGAAGCACTAGGTGCAGAAAAGACATTTCTTGGTTGCGGTGTCTCAAAATCTCTGCCAACGTTTCATCCATTGTAATTAAAGCAAATGCATGTAATTTGACACTACTTTTACCAAATATTCTTTATGATCTTATGATGCTGAAAACGCAAAATTTCAGAAAATTTACCTGATAATCTCCTCTCTAAAATATAAATAGCACTGGAGATTCTGAGACACCGCTACCGAGAAATGCCCTTTCTGCACTCGACGCCTCAACCGTCAAAGTTTCCTTTGCTTGCTGATTTTTTACCTGAAATACTGTGCAGAATTCCACTTAGGTTCTAAAAATTGATGGCTCATACAACTTGACCTCATCAATGATATTGAAAATTGTACCGGCAGCGCACATTCCGTGTTCAATACTCAAGAACGCATCAATGACTCAGTTTCGCCTTCCACTTCTAAAGTGAGTCCAGACTACAGTAGGGTATTGTTTTGTTCATCTGTTTGGCAAAAGTAACTAAATGATCCTGCTGACCTCTAGAGGTAGTTCAGTGTTAGGTAAAATATACGGCATTCGTGGACAGAAATGCGAGTTATCGGGCAGTTCAAACAGAGTTAATCGATGACAATCATTGGGCATCCGATGAGTTGTTTCAGAACAGTTTGCACCAACAACAAATCCCAAGTATGAAGCTGTTGGAATGTGCTCGTTTGGAGCTATCTAGAGGCTGACTTTTGTCTTCACAAACGATGAGCAGGCTCTAAATCTTCATCAGAGATAACTGATAAAGTGAGCGGGAAAACCAACACTAACCCAAACAAGATCAGTTGCATATACAGCAGATTGATGATGACTCTCTATTAAAAATTCTGTGAGGAAATCAACGCTAAATCTAAAAAACAGACGACAAAAGCAAGCTCAAGCGGCTCAGGTAAAGAATGAGTTAGGCTGAAAACGAGCCAAAAGTGAATCTGGAAGGTGAGAAGAAAAGTGATTTAATGCTGGAGCACAACTATACCTTATAAGACGGAGGATGAACTATAACTTCACAGTGCTTTAGTGAGGAGCCGAAATTACAATTCGTGAGGATCTACCTGGACAAGAAGCCGCTTGAGATGGGATTTTTGCAGAATTACAGTAATTACACGTCGGCTTCTGACAAGTTATCAGCGGCACACAATGGTATCAACAAAGTTTTGGCGCTAAAAATGTGTTCAACAGCTGATCAACAACATTCAACAGGCGAAGTTAGAGGTACTTTTAGAGCAGATACCCTACTGGTAGCAGTGGTAGCTGACAATGAGTTTCATGGGACATGTTTGGCTAATGCGAAGCGTGTTGCATCCTTCAGTCGTAGCATACCTTTACTTTTATTGGTTGATCACTGGTATGGTTATGGTAAAAGACCACCAGTTTTCTATGACTGAGACAACAGAGACCATTCTGTTTTTCTCTATGAATATCTATTTAGGTTATGTCATTTGTTTACAAACAAGTTCGAAAAACCGGTGGCATGCGCTGAAATTTTTAATATTTTATTTTTCTTCTCATTTAAAAATAATTATCAAAGTCTTGGCGAATTCTCTGAACTTCTTTCATCCGTTTTCAGCGCAAATGTCACATCTTGGCAATCAAAATGTGTACTTATTTCTTAACGGAGCTACTCTGACCTCAAGTAAGTCTCATTGCACCGCGTTAAACCAAGTTAAACACATCAACTTGAAACCAATTTTTCTTCTGACCAGGAAATTTATTTTTCATAGTAAAAGAGCAAGAAATGATTCATTTCTTGACAAGTGAAAAATTCGAGGAATTCAAGGGGTTCGCATCTTCAGCTGCCTTTTGAGGTTGATGCAATGGTTGAAGGTTATAGATGAAGCAGAATAATCTGTCTCTTTATTCTATGGTCTCGTTGAGACACAGCAACGTAGCGTAGAACTCATTTCTGGTGAGATGACAACAATCGTTTACCATCCTTTTCCGGATGGCTGCACTGCTGCCTTTGAATAGCAATCAAGAATTGATCGCGAGCATGTTTATTTGGTTGTATCCTTAAAATGATCCATTTGCCTTGTTTGCAGGGATGCAAACATTTCTTGACCATGCAATTAGGCTGGTCGTAATCGATCACATGTGAAAATGGGAAGGCCACAGGAAAGGTATTTTCAGGTGGGAAAGCTGATAGCTGGTGCGTTGTATTTGCCAAACTGCGGTAAAAATCACAGTTTTTTTTCTTAATTCTGTCGTTGAAATGATGTGTTTTCCGCAACATTGCTGCAATTTGTAAGGCTAGAGCCATTTTAAAGTCATTCTTTGCAATTAAGAGGATTGAAGGTTTTTTAAAATAGAAAGGTCAATTTGAAAAATGGGAAGGCTGAGAACTTTCTGCATCCCTGCTTATCTATTCCATTTGCTTTATGTCTGGTTTAGGTGTTTAAAGATGGGTTATTTTACTCACAATGAGTGCTTATTTTTTCAGCTTAGGAGGTGCATCAGCACAAGAATGAAACTTTTTGATCGAACTCAAAGTTAGAAGTATTCCATCAATTTGGCACTCAAGTCAGTATGGAAGAGAACGCAATTGACAAAAGAGGTTTCAGTAGGCGCTTATTTTGTGTGGAATATCCTGGCATTGTCAAAAATGAAGATAAGATGATAGAAACCCTGGGAGGACTAACTGGCATTTCTCGAGTGAGTCTCAAATTACTTTATTTTAAAGATGCATTCAAAGATTGGCAGCGATACTATTACAATATTTGTACTTTTTACAATATTTCTTACAAGTGGAGTTTTGCCGAACTGTACTTCCGAAGATAGATGTGTGAAATGTCCAAAATGGCCATCGTGTGAAACACACCAGTTTTACATTGTTCGGGACCACAAAGTAAGTAAGTTGTAGATAGCGTAATTATGTCACCAGACAAAGTGATCAAAACAGTGGCGTGCGGTGAGTTTAGTGACAAGGCAAGCTCCAACGTTTGCCTCCGGGGGGAGGGGGGGTTGACGTAGCCTCCTTCCCCTCCTCAGGAAGCCCCCCTAAAAATTGTCAAAAATTCAGATCCTCATGACCCTCTATTTACTCTATTTTTCTTATGGAACATCTTGAAAAACGGTGGTTTTACTTCTTTTTCTTTTACGTATGATTTCGTTTACTCAACTTGTTTCGAATGTTTTTGAGAACTGCAGGATGGCTCCATGCTCTCAACTACTGATTTTGCGACATATTTGAGGTATTTTTAGTCTTTATTCTACAGCGTTCAGAATTTTTTGAGTCTTTTAAGTTTCGCAGAAAAAGATCTTTCTGCGTTTAAAACATGATTGAGAATTGTCTTATTCATCACCAAATAGATCCAAGTGAGCGACATATTTTAGAACGATTTTAGAAATGGAGGGCACTTGCTCTGGAGGGAGCAATCTTAACCGTGACGGAAAGAAAGAACAAGATAGCGCATCGGAGACAAAAACAGGGCGCTGCTGTAAAGGGCCAAGAGAAGCAAGCTGCGATCACGCAGTGAAGCGCTCGGACTCAGAGCATTCCGCTCTCCCCGCCCGCCTTGATTCGGCCGCCGAGTAGTGGCTCTCCGTTCAGCCCATCGCAAGCGATTCTCCAGAGCATGGGTTGGCCCGTGTTCAGGCCGCGCAGTGCGCTGCGCCACCTCCATCCGCTCTGCTGCTTTCCTACTTTGTGGCTCTATAAGTATTTCTGTCTCTCTCTCTTCCTGTTTTTAATATAATTCACTTACTATCACCTTATATCAATAATATTTGCTAAAATTTAAAACATGTAATATATGTAATTTTCTTCTTTCTTCTGAAATCTTTAGGCAAGCACTGCTTGCCTTGCTTATCCGGACCGCACGCCACTGGTTTTAAAACCAAAGCCTGTTTTTGCTCCTTTTTTGATGACTTTCTGTGTGATTCTTACCGTATTTCCATAAGTGATTCCAATCAATGATAATAACTCTTAGAAAAAATTGCAGGTGGTCTCAGAGCCAGGGCTTAAACTAGGATTGAAATTCCGACCAGAGGATCGATTTTGCAAGTCAGTATTTGGACATCCGGTAGACTCCAGAGGATTATTGTTGAAAATTAAAATCAGGAAGAAAAAAAGCAGTAATTCAACTGAAGATACCAAGCCGGTTTTGGTGAGCACTGAAATTGTGGGGTGTGTTGAGAAATCTTTTGTTTATGATAGTAAGTTCATTATTTTTATATTATTCTGTTTGTCAAAGAAAATTGGTGCCTGAATTTCAAACTCAAAGATCAGTTCTTTCTTTCTGTTTGACTTCAGTCGAAAATTTGGAAAGTGAGTAAGAGAATTTATCAGTGAAAGCAAGTAATATTAAAAATTAAGGCGTTATGGTCTACCGTGGCAGAAATTAGCCAGTAAAATTGGCAATAAGATTGGCAAATGGCAATACATCAGTTGTACAGTTGGATAAACTATGACATACTTACTTCAGTCATAATGGTAACGATCTCTGGCAGATGGCATCATACATAAGTATACATAGATGATTGCACCAATGAATTGCTCTATCTGCAGGTCTATTGCCAGTGCAATGGTTGAACTCTCTCAAGGTATATGACTCACATTCTTGCATTCTCTGCTGAAAAATAAAAATGCTGAATACTTTGAATACAACTATTTATTGGTGCTAATGTCAATGTATCCTTATTTATGTACCGAAGTAAATGATCTGCATTGATGGTGTAGAAAAAGTTTATCTATTTTCTCCCTAGTTAAACTGTTTACTAGTGTACTTTTACTTGTTTTCACTCTGAGTTTTCAATAGTAAGTTATCGTCATCCCAAATCATTAATACCTTTTTGTTTGCCACAACTTTCAGCTTTGTGTGATTTTCAATACCTACCTGTGGCAAAAAAAGAAGGTGGAAAAAATGAAAGCATCCACAATGCAGTAATTCCAACATCAATGATCACGAAGGACTGGCTGAACGAACCTGCGCCAATTTTTTTGATGCCTTCATATTTCTCCAGAGTAGACGTTCCTTTTGTATGTATTATTCTGTTCCTATAAAATTAGCACTGTCAATTGTTTTGAGGGCTTTGATTATATTATGGTATTGTCATAGCAATCAGTTATTTACAGGCAAAAAAAATTGGTGATGCTTGACTATGTATTTGACTTAGAACTGTGAGAACTTATAATTAGAGAAATTAAGTATCAATGTTGAAAGTGTAAAACCACGTACCACCATTGAGATGTTTCAAAATTTCTACTCCTATTTTATTTTTTCAAAGAGAAACAAGCCAACTTTCTAGTTTGAAATACAGAATAATATTCTGCTAACAGAGAAGTAAAATTAAGATAGTTTTCAAGAAAATGCGTTGACTAGTATTTTCAGGAAAAAATAAAGTAGGATAGGGGGTCTGCATCATAGCAAATGGAGAGACGTCATTTCACCCTTTGACCATCGATTTGTTCAAAACCTGAACTACCAGCCTCTGAGTTCTGCAGAAGCCGTTTAAAAAATAGCAAGGAGAGTATTACTAAATTACACGTCACTGGAGGTATCTCCAAGAGAACACAATCCATTACAGGAACATAATAGTGCATCATAAGGGGGGGTTATGAACATCTCAAGTTTTTCATTAGCAAATTAAGGATGCTCCCAGAGGACTAGTCAAGCACTGGATGATCCATTATACAATATTTTGAAGAAGTAAACTTGGTGGTTTTGAGCTATATATTTTTCTTTTTCAATCTGCAAAAGATTTTTAATTTAAAAATTTCAAAAACTGTCTCCAAAAAAAAAAAAAACCCCTGAAAAGTCATAATTTTGTCTAATGCTTATTGAGTAGTGGTCACCAAAATTCCTGAGGAGAATTTATCATTTTTTCATAACTGTTCATCAGCCAGTAGCTAACTCAAGAACTTTTTATTACATCAAAGTTAATCCCTTTAATGTTTATTTTGTAGAATTACCTGTTCCGCACTGAACCCAAAGATGTCCTAAATACAACAAAACTGAACTTGGTAGTCCGGAATCGCAAGCGAAGGATCGGAAGAGCAGCGTGTGGTTCATTCCAAGCAGACACAGTCCCTCAAAAACCTACATCTGTTGCTTTGAAATCATATTTTCCATCGATGGAGCCTGATATCCAAGCTCTGAAAAAAGTGAGTACAGTAGTCTAAAATACTATTACATATAGGTTTCACTTTATGGAAATCTCCTCAATTGCAGCAGTCTTTATCACAGCGCAAAAATATGTGACTGAGTCAAAATCATTAACTTTAAAACCAAAACAATCTGACAAAACGGAGTCTTCCCACACAACGAGGATAGTTTCTGGCAGGAGGTGCTCCTCTAAAGTCTAGGTAGCTGTCCATGAAAAATAGGACCTTTAAATATTAAAACTCAAAACTGAGTCCCCAGATCATAGAAACTGTACTGCAGACATTTTGATGCAAAAAAAATTCCTGAAAATGTCAAACCAAACGGAAGTTTTGTTAGAATTTCCAGTCCAGATAACATGATTTTAAGAAACTGCCATTTTAAAAACTCTAGTGTGTTCAGGTCACAAAATTTTCGGAGTCTAATGTAAATTTATGCCCTTTAAAGAAAACAGTTTTTAAGGAGGTATCACTGTATCAGCCATTAATATTTTAGGTATGGATTTTTTTTCCGTACGACCATTTTTTTTAATGCCCTCTATTGACATCCAAATGAAGTAAATTGCTCGAAGCTTATTTTTAGAACCCTGAGAGAGTTTTTTCATCCTAACTTGACAGAAATTGCCTCATTGCAAAGTTTGCAGCCTTGCATTTTGGTCCTTCCTCCATATGATGGTATTTTTACTTAATTTTCCAACTTCCTATCACTTTTATGCGTTCATAGTCCTTATTTCAAGCTTTAAGGATCAAAATTAGTTTAAATCTTTACCTATCACATTACATTAGCTTTGCACTCTTAGGTAAATTGAGTGACTTACTTTTCTAATTTTCTAAATTTCAGATTTTTGAGGACCGTCCAATTTGGAGCCGAGGTGCCATTATGCAGACAACTCAGTTTAATGAGAACACAATGAAAAGAATCATTCATTATGTTGCTTACTTCTATTGTGACGGGCCCTGGCGTTGTACCTGGGTTCGATTCGGCTATGATCCAAAAAAAGACTCCAGTAATAGAATTTACCAAATATTAACCTACAGATCGGTTAGGACAGGTAATCTATTCATAATTTTTCCTTTTTCCTCTTTTTTGATCAAGATATGCGAGGATTTAACACAGCTTCAAGTTGATTACACAGGAAATACTTAATACAATTAGGATAAAGCTTCCGCAAACTTTTAGATATTCTCCAGTAGATAATCAGCCTGAATTGAATCTGTGAGAATGAAAACACGCCAACTTTGTAACTCGAAAGTGCCCAATGTTTATGAAAGGTACCCAATTTTCCTGAAGGTTATTGAAGATGGCGCAGCTATGTAAACTTTAGCCTTAAAAGTGTTTACAGGTACTTGTACTTTGGCACCAAAAATCTTTTCATTGCTCTAACTTCTTCACCTACCCTGCAGTTTTTTGTCTCTTGAACATTTTCATTTTTTCGAGTTGGTGCGTTTTTAATTTTTTATTCTGTTTGATTAAACTGCGATTTTCCTTACTGTTCTTTTATTTTGTCCTTTTTCTTACCTAGCTTTCATCGATGATTGTTGACTTTCTTAAAAGAATATTCGTTTTTTTAATCTAGGTTTGGATAACAAAATTGAAGCCTACAGAGATCAGAAACATCACCATATCCCATTAAAACGCTCCAAAAATGTAACTCAGAAAAAGGAAAAGCAACTAGATTTTATCTTCAAACCTGGAACTGTTCCTCCAATGAGATTTGTATACTATCAGGTTAGTTAAATTCTGTTCTTTTGCAGTTCTTCTTTCTTCTCAGTTTCTCTCAGTGCGTCTCGACTAGAAAAGCACCAAGAAAAATATTAGATAGCTATTAAAAAGTATTGTAGGCCCATAAAATTGTGAAACTACTCTTGCCAGTCTCTAGTGCTCAAGGTTTTGCCAGGGACGCGATGAGGTATTCTGAACAGTGTCTCAGTGGGATGTTTCAGTGAAGTATATGATTGCAATTTTCTGGGAAAATGAATTGGCAATTACTAACTGTACAGCTTGAAATTTATTCAAAATATTCTAATACTAGAGGAAAAAAAGATAGGAAGTTTTCAAGAAATTATGTTGATTAGTGTTCTGAAAGCAGAACAAAGTAGGTATGTTAGGAAGTCTGTGAAGCCGCAAACAGAGATACGAGGTTTCGTACTTTAGCCAGTTGCTGAGTTTATGAATAAGTTTCTTTGTGCAATTCTATGCTGCAACTAATGCCTAACTTTGCGTACATCATAATCTTAAAATGATGTAAGTACAGTCGAACCTCTGTTATTTAGTGCATCAATTAAACTCTGGAGATCCCATAGTAATTTTGTTAGTTTTTTCGACCCAAACGTCAGTTTCTACGGTTTTTCTCATTATTTTTAACGTGTTTTATAGATTTTCGACCACCCGGCGTTTTTATATTCAGTGAAAGTGGGGTCTTTGCCACAAATTGCCTTAGAACAGAGGTTCGACTGTTACTTATCTTTTAATTTTTATAACTGCAGAAATAAGTAAAATTGGGTCGATAATTTCAGTGAAATTAATTTTTGTGCTGTAAATATCTTTCCAACAATTTTCTAATCTCTATCCTCTCTCATAGATTTGCGACATTCACTTACCAGAAGTTATAGCGATGTTAGATCGTTTGCCTGCTCCAACACCTAATGACGATTGTGATGATAAAAATGGTTTTTTTCCTCCTGGCTTTATCGATCAAGTCCGAGAGATTATGAAAAAGTATGTAATGCAGGAACTCAGTGCAATTGGTGAAGGTGCATCTTCTAGTCAGTTTAGTGCAGGTAATAGCCTAACAGATCTTCTTTACTTATCTTGCAACAGACCTTGTAATGAGGGTTCTGAACTTGAAAAACAAATTCAAATCACGATGATGGTTAATAGTACCATTGCTTGAATGGAATAGTTTTGATCTGAACCTAAAAATGTCAATTCTCTATGTCACTTGTGTATTCTTCAGTTTTGGAACCAAAATATGAGATTAGGAGGAAACGCAGTTAAAGTGTTGGAAATATACATTCTACCTCTGTCTCATCTTATCCTAAAGGCTTATACTTTAATGCATTGGAGAAATGATAGGTAAACATGCTTTTGAATGATCTTAAGTTCACAAAAGAATTGAAATAGAACTTTAAATTTTTACTGTAAAACAATCAATAAATAAAAAGATCATAATAATTGTAATGAGGATCTTGCACAATTTATTTTCAGATGAATTTTCAGAAAGTACGTGAAAAAGTAAAAAATCTCTGACCTTTTCCAGTTTTTTATCTAATCAAATTTTAGCTCAGAAATAGACTCTCAAAGTCGCCAAACATCTAACCCTATTTCAAACGGAAAAATATTGCGCTATTAGGTTTTGTAAGGTCACCAGAAGAATTGACAGCCGTGTATCTGTTCACCTGTGCTTGCTTTTTTAATTTTGGTCAAAGTTGTAGCGAGAGGTTTTGTATACCAATGGTACTTGCAATTCCATCGTTGTTTGAAGTTAATATTGGTGTGGTCCTTTTTAAATGAAATCTTACGTTTGTAGTTTGAATCATACGACGGATGTGGCATTCGATTCAAAATGGTAAGAACCCTAGGTCATCGCGATGTCATAAGCTTCAGGTCAATGAGAAACGTCCTTTATACGATTTCAACTTTAAGTCGCTTATTTTATACTGAAGATTTGCTTAAGCTTTCTAAAGCTCGCGATTCTTGCTGAAATTAACTTTAGAAACATCTATTTTCAAGGCTATTCCTTGTCTTACAACTTGGTAATTAGGGCTGCGTAACTATCTGGCATAATTTACGCATTGATCGTTTTATCCAAGCAGTGAATAGTTACATCATGTGAAAACTCAGAAAAAGAAGACAGAGTGTCACATTTCATTTTGAATGCTGAACAACATTATGAGCATTTAAAAGTAACCTATAAAAATTGAAACTGAGATTTATTGAAATTATGATGCATTATGGCAAATTTTTCAGCAGGTGCAAATTGATATTATCGGCCTATCACTGAAATACTGATTCTGCCTTTTATTTTTAGTTAAAACAAGATTTGTTTTTGCTGTAGAATCCTGGATTTTGAAAGATTTAAGCAAAATATATGCTTTCAGAAACCGAGTGCCAAAATTATGTGAATTTAGAACTCTTAGCGTAATCTGAGAAACCAAAGCATTTTGATTGCCCATTCCACAAGACTGAATGGATCAGTCTCCTGGAAAATATTTAGAGTGAAACCAGTATTTAATCAAAATGTGTGATATGAAATACCCTGTCCAGAAAATAGAAGTATTTAGAAAAAAATGTGTGTGTGAGTGCAAAATAGGTCCAACTAGAAATACTTGTCCCTTGGTAACTGTATTTCAAAACTTACATCCATATATTTTCTTGTACTGACCAATAATTTCAAATGAAAATTTATAAGAATATTCTCGCAAAAGTATCAAAAAATTGGAACAAAACTTTAACCAATAATGATGTATCATTGTTTTCCATAAAATGAGAAGTGACAGGAAATCTGCAATGTATCAAAATACACGTTTTTGTTTCTTTTACAACACGTAACTAGTATGAAGGGTTTTATTGCACTTTCGAGTAACAGCTGTGATTTTATTTTACAGAAGCATCTACGTCTCAATCTTTTGACGATTTCCCTGACAATCCAGGAGAGGGCGACTCAAGTGAAGACGAAGATATGGTTGATCAATATTTTGAGTGATTACAAAGTTCAGCATAAGTATATTTTTATAAGTCATTTTGTATATTTTTTGTAAAAGAATAAGTTTTATTTTTAAAAAAAAATCGGGCCTTTTCTCCTGTTTGATTTTGTCAGAAATGAACCAAACCCATTCTCTGAAACCCAAGATAATCTAGAAAATAGGTAGTACAAGGAAAGCAAGATGAACCGTTTAAATTGGCTTAAGTTTGGGGAACAAAATGTTTATTCAAAGTTTTGATAGCTCTTTTCATTCAGGCAGTTCAACCTGTTGCAGAAGGTGGACAAGGGAGCCACAAGATGTAAAAAATAATTAATTTTTTCCTTCCACAAGACTTGGCAACAATATGAAATTTTCTGTTCCAAGATCCAAGTATAAAAACATACCAAGTAGTACAAAACGTTCTTAAGAATCAAACTAGAAACTTGATTTGTGATATAATTATTTTGTCCATTCAATAACTGATGCAAAAAATTAACACCAAGTTGAGAATACTCTTAGCTTTTCATTAAATAAAAAGTTGCACTCTTTGAGGAATATGGCGTATTAGGCATAATTGAGCAAAACTCATCCAAAACTGCCAAGTCTTCAACCCAGAAACTAATTGAAAACAATCACCTTAAATAGGCAATTATGTCCAAAACATTTTTGGCTGAGATATGCATGCCAAAAAAGCAGCAGTATCTCGGTGAGGAAATAAAATCCTGAACCTGGTGCAAGCTTGTATGATTCTATAACATACGTCCTTCAACTCGGTCTTGATGAGTGTTCAAGTAGCTTCGGATTATTATCATCTGATCCTGTTCTTGAAATTATTCATTTATTTTCTTTAAATAAAACTATATACCTAATCAAAATGCTTTCTTGAAATTTTATCAGAATGAGACGAGAAAATCCGCAGAAATTCAACTAAATTCATTGGCTTTCTTTTAAAAAACTGAAACATTAACAGAGACTGATAACGTTGTAATCCAAGATACACATTCTTTTACTGAAGTCATCAATATCCATGGCCAGAGTGCGAAACCACATACTTGACTCTATTGCGGTGTTTCAAAATGTCCGCTCCTACTCTTTCATTTTTTTTGGGGAAAAACAAGTTAACTGCATACCTTGTGTACTAGTTAGTAAGTATATACTACCTCATATACTAGTAAGTTTTTATCGAATATTCTACTAACAGAAGAAAATCAAGGAAGTTTTCAGGATTCAATTACTAGTTTCAAAACTACCCTTGCCTAGTTCTTCAAAGAAAATATGACAGGAAGTCTGAGACATCGCAAACGGAGTTACATGATTTCACACTTTGGTCATGGATATAATACAAACTCACTGATACAAATTTTGGTGCTCCAAAATCAATCAAAATTGAAAGTTAAGTTCACATTTTTGCGGACTAACCTGCATAATAGAGAACTTGAGGAAATCGTTCATCTTCAAATTTTTCATTTTTCAACACTCATGATTTTCCCTAAAATGCAGATATTTACTACAAAGTTTGACATGCTAGAAATTTTATCGTATTGGAAAATATATTTACAGGTACTTCATGAAGTTGTAGAAAATTAAAAGGACCTTTTTTTTTAAAAGAAATAAAACGAAGTTTATTTTTAATACATTTACATGAGTTTAAAAGCTTGATGGTCTGATTTGTGGTTCAGCATTTCAGAAAGGTACAAACTTAGTTTATAAAGGTACAAAAACTTGTTTAACAATGACTTAGATACTAAGAGGATCCAGCCAAAAATGTGATATGTATCACCTGTTTTCCTCAAGAAAAGTATCCGGGGCAAGAATAAAAAACAAAAAATTCTACAAAAATCAATACACCTGCAGGATTAAAATTAAAATGTTTACATAAGTGAGAAATGGGACTGAGGGTTTTAGACGAGTGAAATGATTGTACTTAAACATAATGGACGTTTTGTTTTTAAAAAAGATACATAAAAGTCAGTGCGCCTAAAATTGATTGCTAGAGGATTAACAATTCTCTGAGACTTAGGAGATGACATCTCTCCTTTGAAATTTTATCTGGAGATCACCGCATTTATTTGCTACAGTGATTACTTTCGATAATTTGTTTTCGTTGCTCCAAGTGTTTCATTATGGATAGCACTAATCTCTGTAGAATTTACAGTTAGAGCACAACAAAAGAATAAAACTGATGAAATGTGTTAACAGACACATTAGAACATATTAAAGTGAGGACTGATAATCATAGCTGCAGGCTTGGATCCTGTTTTTTTTTCCTCTCTTTTTTTTTTTTAAATACAATGATGCATGTACATTACCTATACTTTATACATTTTTTGAAAAAGTATGAACAAAAAAATTGTAGCCTCCATCTTCTGCAAAAATTCAATGATTTTTAGGGTTGGTTTTAATCACAATAAGTATGGGATTTACCATTTGAAATGCAGAAAATATAAGAACAATATACATTTTATTACATACTTACATACAATTTTATACTATAAAGAACAAACTTTTGAGAAATTTCAACTCATGTTTTACACAGTTCGTTAGTTTCGGTTTTTAGAGTTTCTAGTCTTGATTTCAGACGTCTAATTTCTGATGACAGGTTCTCGAGATTGGACTTGATAGCCTTTTCTTTAGTGAGACTTAGGTAAATTTCTTTATTTTTTCTTTGATTAGCACTTGCTTCTAAATTCTTAAGCTGGTACGCTTGTTTCGATTTGATTTGCTCTATCGAAAGTTTGAACTTCTCAACTTTCTCTTTGATGATTTGAAGGTCTGCTGCCATTTTTTTCTCAGCCTGATTCGAGGTAGGTTGCAGGCATGAAATCGTCATTACAATTTTTTCCGCTCTCTTCGTCAGAATTTCTTGTTTTTCATTTGCTTCTTCGTACTTGTCGGCGAGTTTTTCAGCGGCTGCTTGGAGTTCTCCTTTCTTCTGTTCAAGTTCCTTGATTTCCTCTACCTGCCTCTTTTTCATATTCCTCAAAATTCGGACTCGCCTGCTGATCTCATCTTTCACCATTTCGTATTTCGGGAAATGTTCTTCCCTGAACAACCGAGTTACCCTGGTTATCAACTCTAGACACTCTTGTGGGCTTGGCTCAGATGAAGAGTTCAGTTTCAACAATGGACGGGAGACTGAGTTGGGAGACGAGAGGAGATTCTTAATATGGACATCAAATGGCTGCTTTTGAGACTTTTTGACTGAATCGACTTTGTTTTCTGGAGAGGATACTGAAGACGGACTAATATTGAACGAGGTGAGAGGTAGAGATATAACTTCTCCGCTTCCAAGGAAAGCGACCAGCGTTGAGGGAGAATCAACGATGGTCAGTCCCAAAACAGGCTGGTGTTTTGAGGAGTTACTCACATGTGTGCAGACTAAGTACTCAGAGGAACTGTGATGCTCAAACGATGGTAAACATAAGTCAATGTTTTCATCTTTAGCAGCAGCAAATGTTTCAAGATCTTGGGTGAAAGGAATATTAATTACGTTGATGCCTGTATCATGACTACAGAAATACCGTGAATTAAAAATTGGGTCTCTGTGCAGGAATATTGGGCAGGAGAACAGTTGCTGGTCATCATCATCTAAGCTAAGCCCTAATTCAAATTCAATGGATTCAAACACATAAAGTGCTTGGGTAGAGGTATTCAAGCTATTATTTGACAAGTTTGATTCTTCGTTACTGGTTTCCTCCATTGACGACATCAGTAAACAATGGTAAACGGTGCCGCTACTCATTGCAATAACAACGATTGGAGGCGCGCTGGGCAAGATTAACAAAGAACTAGCATCTGTACCGTAATTATCATCAGCTGCAGGATACATGCACAAAGGACCTGCCACTTTGGGTATCACTTGCCTAGTTTTGCTGATGGCAGGACTCGTTATTAAGAACACGTCACCATTACCAAACAAAACTAGTATAGGCCATAGAATACTGAGAAGCTCTAAATTTTCTTCGTTTGTATCGGTTACAATAGGAGGAGCAAAATCAAAATCAACAGCTATATCACCTAAGGATGCCAGGTACGGTACTGAGATGGGAGATCGCCCTAAGGGCCAGACAGCTAACAAATTCATTGAGTCTACAGGAATGGTTTTGTAAATTCGTAGGTCATTGCTTGATGTCAAGACAATCAGTTGATCGTCCGACTCCGAGGCAGGATGCCAACGGACTTGTAGAACAATATCACCATTGCAGGATAGATAGCGTCCGTCTAGGGGAGAACACTTGACAAATATTGAATTCTTACCACCTTGAAACAAGCCGTACTTTCCCCAACGTTTGGGTAATTCAAGAACGGCCACTCCTTTGGACCCACTGACAGCACACAAGGTTCCAGATTTGTTCACTCTGATGCATGTGACGTCGAAAGTGGGGGGATCCGAAGGCATGAGTACCTGGTGGAGATCTTCCTCGGTGGAGATGTTGAGAGTTTTGATATTCAAACTGAACAGATTATTTTCACTGCAGTTCCAGACATAAATAATCCCATTATTAAAACACATTATATTCTTCGACTTAGAAATGTTTTCTGGGCTTGCTTCACGGAGGAGCTTGAACATTTTGTGTCGGTTGAGACACCACCGATCAGTACTGACTTCCATTTTGAAACTTGTCTCGTCTTTGGATATTCTCAAATTTGAATTTAAAAAATGAACTGATTTGAATAAACCACTTTAAACGTATTGAAATTGAACAAAATTCAAAATGCTCGATTTCCGCGTTAACAAGTAAACATACATAACCTAAAAGCCGGGTTGTCGTTGTTGTTGGTCTCCGAGGTACCAACACAGAAAATCAAAACTTACTAATGCTCGAAGTTTAAAATGTGATGCGTGATGAGCAAAAATAAAATCAAGAATATTGAAAATTAATTTCAAAGGCAATATTAAACATTTCATTTCCTGCGTTGCGATTATTGCCAGAATAAAGAAATAAATTACCGAAACTTCTTGGAAGTAAATAGTGTAAATTAAGAAGGCTTTCAGTGGTACTACTCACTTCCTCCTGTTCCCGCTATTTTTGAAAAGTGAGGATACGACCTCATCAGATACACGGAGTCTTCCTCGCACTAATATGTAATTGAAATAAAAGAACGAGCTCTTAATGATTTCCAGGGACTTACTATTAGTTCAGAATCTCCTAGGGTCATCAATTAAAAATTCTCAGCCATCAAAGTTTCATTCAAGTTTTTGGATCAGATATCCAGGGTAAATAACGCTGAGTAACCAAACCACTTCAATGTAGAATCAATTTTGAATCTACTTCCCTTGATGCAATAAGAGCTAATTGCTCACAGATAAGCAAAGGAAAGAGCTTCCACGATGAAAAATGAACATATCCAGCAATTGTAACCGTAGTTATAAACTGCAGGGATGAAGAAAAGGGAGAAGAGTTAAAAGAGATTTTGGCGCTTAAGACAATTATCAAAAGCGATCCTTGTGATTTTGTATTTCATTGATAATTCAAGTTAATTTTTTGAGCTGGTGAGCTTCATAATTGAATCATGTCCATAGCTCGACCTACTAAGGTATAGTGTTCCTTACTCGTAACAGTGCATTTTTTGGTTTTTTTAAAACTTGAACTATTTCTCTGTGGTATGATGTTGAAAATTCGAAATGAAGTTCTCTTTTTTGAAATAATAAATACCAGAATTTTGAGGAAAAAATTTGGGACTATGTTTTACCAAAGCTTTGACATAGATATGTGTCCCCCAGAATCTGAGATCTAACATAAATTGATGTCATTGAAGGTTAAGTGAAAATGTGTGTCTCTAGTGCAACCCTTTGAGTCTTCAATCTTCTTTATTATTTAAACAGGAGACTTAGTGTGAAAAATCTTGTTGAAATTTTCTGGCAGTATTTTTGAACGAAGGAAGAAAATTCACTGAGAATGGCGAGATTGATTGAGCGTTAGTTTCCTAGTAAAAAGAGTAACATATGAACAGAGATATGCAATGGTGTGATAAATGGTGAAATAGGCAGTTATTTACTTCAGTCATTGATCAACTTTTGAGATACATAATATCTACTTCCCATCAACATGGCTGTTGTTGCCGACGATTCATTTCAGAACTTTACTTTAGTGTGCTGAAAAATTAGTTAAGATAGGATTAAACGACCTGCCCTCACAAGGCAGGGAGATGAAACTATGCACCATTCTGCGACATTTAAATCGTTTGTTGCCTGGCAAGAGCAGGAATTTACTACATAAAAATAGATCTGAAGCCCACGGGTTGATTTTAGTTAAAGAATTGCTGGACAGCAAAATAATAATAATGAAAAAAAAAAACCTAGGTTAAAGTTTGTACAACCACATTTATTTATTCATTTCTGATTACAGTCAAGCTGACAGGTTGGAAATTGTACTAAGTTCCAATTAAGATCAAAAACTGACTTAAGAAAAAAGATGATGATAAAATAATAAAATAAAGCCGTAAATACTGAAAAAGATCAATTTCTCATTTACAAGAACCACATTTAGTTCGAAAAAGGATTTCAACTATCATAAATCTTAACTTACACACTTATTGGAAAAGTTTGGGTTTTCCTGAATAACTTGGGGGTTGGCATTTGTACAATATTTCCATGCGGAGTCATAAAATAAAATCTTAAATCGGTGAGGTTTGGATCAAATTTTTTTAATAGAAACCTTTCATAATGACCAGGACTTGTTCGACCAGCGAAATTCGCTATTGAAGGTCTTTAAAACAGAGAAAAGGTGGATGAAGTCCAATTTATCGTATCGAACAGAAGTTGAAGAGGAGAGACAGTTATCAGGAAGGATGCTGAGGCAACCGGATTAACTATAATTATAGTTACACATAAAAAACCATGGAAGGTATAAAATGCACAATTCTTTGATAGAAAAAAGTTTCACTGAGGTAAAATTTGGAACGAGCGCGGGCTACCGACTCAAAGCGGGAGGGCAAGGTTTAACAGCTGCCAAAACTTTGATGAGAAACATTCTGATTAGAGATTGGAGGGAAAAAGGCATGCTTATGAATTCTAAGATACGCCAGTTACAATCTAGATTGATTCCACAGACGGAAAAGTGACAAAGATGGTTAAAATAAGAATATTCTTGTAGATTTAAGTCTCATGGGGACATCAGTTACTTCGGACTCTGATAAGAATGTTACCCATCAAATGAGCACAATACTGCACATGGGCAGTGTATTATGTACATTATAAAGCCTCAGGACTTAGAAAAAATTGTACTCTCTGGCATCAATATTGACGCATCTCATTTTCTTATCTACAATCTGATTTTTGGAGGGATCTCAAGTTTCAATGATACATGAAACTGGAGTAAACACTTCCTTTCTCTAAGTTTGATACAATGGATGAGAAAACTTTGTCCGAGATTAAGCTCTTAAATTGAGAATAATGTAAAGGCAAAGGAATGATGACAGAAATTAAATAACGATATAAATCAAAGTGAATTCGATGAAATTACACAAATTAGTTCACCAAAATTTTCCTCGACTTGATATAAAGATGATATCAGCTAAATTAGCCGTGAAAAATTACTTTACTTATACTATCAATTACACTTGTCTGATGAAACAAAAAAAATTATGATTTTTTAGCGAATGGGCGAGTGCATATATTTGGTTTAGCCTTCACACTGATTCTAAAGGCAAAACCTAAACCCTCAATTTGGAGTACACACTAAATAAATTTATGCACTTCCAGAGTGTAACCCTGCTGTCCACAAGAAAAAACGCATTTACAACATTCTAGATTATTAGTGTATTTTCCGAAGGAAATACACTATTTTTCAATTTTTTCCCCTGATAAATTGCTTAATCACAAAAAAAAATCATCAAGCATTTATCCATCCTAATTCTAAAATAACTGTGACACACCATTGAGAATCCAAATATACAAAATGAAGCATCGTGGTGGTGAGATTTCGTCAAAATAGAACAGGAAGAAAAATACAAGCTCACGATTGGAGCTACGACGTTTTTTCTGACGACAGCAGAACAAGTTAAACCATCTTCTTGGCCTCACTCTGGGAGTGCACAAACTAATTCAGCGTGAATCCTGACTCTCAATACGAACGTATGTTCGCAAACCATCTCAGCAATTTTTCCTAAGCCCTGCTCGAGCCCCTCCGCGGTAGCCCTGGCGTGAAGATCAAGCGGAATCTAGAACCAGGTCATGTTGCCGTAGCGTCCGCCACCTCCGCCGCCTCCATAGCCGCCGCCACCGCCACCTCCGTAGCCGCCTCCGCCTCGCTTCCATCCGCCGCGGCTGCCGCCTCGGAAGTTGCGCGGTCCGCCGGGGCCGCCGTACCAGTCCGAGTAGCCGCGCCTGAAGCCACCTCCGCCGCCGCGGCCTCCGTAGAAACCGCCGCCGCCGCGACCTCGCCCGCCTCCGTAGAATCCGCCGCCTCCGCGGCTCTTGAACCCGCGCTTGCTGCCTCGCCCTCGTCCGTCCGAGTTGGCTTCGTGGCAGACTCGGATGTTCAGCTCGCAGTTGTCCAGCTCCAGTTTCTGGTCCAGCGCCAACAGTTTCTATGGAACAAATCAAATGATCGAGGTTACCACTAGCCTTACAAAAAAGTAATAGACAGTAATTGAAAAGCAATTGAACAGAATTTAGAAAATGGAATTCCCTGACAATTGAAGATGGGACAGGTGAATCACTAAATACGAAAGGGGCACACGTCAAGAAAACCAAATTGTTCAGGAGACACAAAAAACTGTTTATTTCGTGGTAGATATTTTCTGGAAAGTCGTTATGTTTAAAAATACCGGCACGGGACGAAGCAGAGCGCCGGTTTTTTTAAACATCGAACAACTTTCCAAAAAATATCTACCACAAAATAAACAGTTTTTTGTGTCTCCTGAACAATTTGATTTTCTGAACATGTGCCCTTTCTGTATTTGGTAATTCAGGTGGTTAAAAGAACATGATTGAGATCAGTTTTCGGGCAAAAGAACCCCGCACTATGGGAAATCCTCCCCGGTCCAATCTGATGAAACTTTGATTTTTTGCTCAGCTAGTCATTCTGATTAAAAGCTATCACAGGCCTAAAGAGATCCAATGTGCAGTTTTCAAGATATTCGTCGTTTTATGTGTGTACGGAGGTCCCACCTGCCGGACTACTGTGCGGCACTACTTGTACCGTTCCCTTCCAGTCCACTTTGGCCCCTCTCCGCTTCTCTGCCACCCATACCCATGGCTCGGACTCCAACGCTCACGAGGCTTTGCTCATCGTCACCGGGCCAGATATATGCAGACGGAGCTATGTACTGTCAAATCTTAGTTGAACAACATGGCTAGAAATAGGTAAAACGATCAACCTACAGGTTGCAGAATGAATCATCTGACAGGTTTCACGATGAAAATTTCGAAAATTAAGTCACAAGGGCAAAATCAGCATTTGTGGGTTACACTATGATCAGATGATAAAAACTTTCTGCTTGCAAAATAGATCAAAATCAACATAGGTTAAATCAGAGTTCAGAAGAATTTCCGATTCGAGATGAGTTACGTTTAACAAACACAAGAAGTGCTAGGTATTTGTTGCACGATTGGGTTCAAAGGGCTTTGACTTGACAGCTTCCTTTCTTAATATCAACATGGAAAAAAAAGAATTGCTGATTCAGCAATTCAATTGCTAAAAACAGTGAGTGCAATGTTTCAACGCAGATTTTACAACAAAAAAATGCTACTTTAACCACCCCGGTGGTTAAATTAGTTTACAATGTGGTAAAAGAAGCATTTTTTTGTTGTCAAATCTGCGTTGAAACATTGCACTCACTGTTTTTAGCAATTGAATTGTTGAATAAGCAATTTTTTTTTTTTTTCCCGTGAACAGAGAGAGGAATGTTTAAGTTTCTGAAATAGATAAAAGCTTCTTCAAAAAGAAAGTATTTTGCCCTCCTGACCCGGAGTAAAATGGAGGCGCGCACTTTGAAAAAGCTAGAAATAGAAAGATCTCTAAAATTAATGATAAGTTAGGTTTGTTTCTTGGCAGAAAAAATGGGATCCTTCAAAAAATAAATAAATAAATAAAAAATATAGGAAAAAAATAGTTGAGTTTTAGAAAATACCTTCATTGATTCATTATTCTTGAGGATGATGAAAGCGAAGCCTCGGGATTTGCTTTCATCCTTGTCCAGAGGGAATGTAATGCTTTCGATTTCATCTTCAGTCATTACTTCCTGAATTTTGGTTTTGAACTTTTCTTCCGTTGTACTGAAAAAGAAAGAAGAAAATATAACAGCAAGAATTATCGGCAACAATGGATTATCTGAGAGAAAGATTTGTTCTAAAAAATACAAACAAAAATTAGAGAATCGCTGCTAGGATCGAATAAAGACATGGCAGAAAGTTGGAAGTAGAAACGGAAAAACAAGGATTCCGACTAAGCTATTTGTGAATTTCCAGGTAAATTCTCTTTTTTTGCTCTGTTTGTTGGATGAGAAACCAGTGCTAAAAATGTTTCTACGAATTCTTCAAAATATTACTCAGAGTTACCGAAGGAAGGGAAAATAGACAGGGGAAGAAAAGTTCACCCAATTTTGTTCACTTACGATGATCGATCATCCTTCAAAGAGTACAAGACAAATGACAGTTACATTCAAAAAATAGAACTAGTGGAGTTATCATTTATACGGATATAAAATTAAGCTGCCATTGCCTGACAATTGAGAATATCTCAGATGAATAAGAAGACAATTTGAAATAGTTTTCAGGTAAAATGTGTTGTTCGAGATGTTAAATCCATTCTGGGAAGTAAATTAAGGTGACTTAACAATTTTTTCCTAAGAATTCCTGGTATTCCTTGACCAGGGCAACCCTGATTCAGTAAATTCCTTGACTTCCCTAGACTTTCCAGGTTCCACACACCGGAAACTTTGTTGGAGGATGCCAATGACGATGAACATACAAAATAAAAGCTCTGACTTACGATTGCGGTAAATTGCTGATGAATACTTTGAAAAGCTCATCTTTCTTCGCATTCATTTCATTTTCCATGATGTTGATTTCCTGGTCATTGATCTTGATCTTGGTCTCTGGGTCTGTCAATTTCTGTACAGAAAAGAAGTGATGATGTAAGTTGACTGACAAAAATTCAAATTGGACGACATTTCAAATGCAAAGGGAATACTTAAGTTGAATGATTTAAAAAAAAAACATGAGACAAGATGCAGATTAAACAATTAATGTCCATAGAAGACCGGCATTTGATGGGTTAGTGAAAAATTTTCAGAGTGCAATTGCCGTTTACGTTTACTTTTTTTAGGGATAATAAGATTTAATCAGGGAATTTCCATGCATTTGTTGCTGAGGTAATTGATAGGCATACACACATTCTCAAATCGCCGAGAAAATCAAAAGCTTTAATTAAGAAGACACCACATTTTTTGGCTTCTTTAAAAGAACAACTTGTTTGATGTTGTGTCCATGAACAGAATGGTGTTTGACACTCATAATTTTTCTTTGATAAACACTGGCTAGTGACTGCTCTCTTTAGAGGAAAATAGCTTGTGGCTCTTAGCCTTCATGTAAAATTACGTTTTTTGCAAAAAGGATGTGACACTTTACCTTCACTGTTTCTTCGTCAATACAATTGGCGAAAGCAATGCCTCGAGGACGTCCTGTCATCCAGTCTTTCGGACACCTTACAGCTGACACTTTCCCTTCTCCAACTTCCTTCTCCAGAGCAGCGCGGACGGCATCTTCATTGCATGAGCTGCAGATTAGAAATTTGTGCAAAATTAATTAATTAATGACAAGCTTCAGGTGCCAAGTTCTTATGAACAAGAAAATAAGGGATATTAGTGATGGCAGTAAGATAGAAAATTGTAACATAGGTTTTGTGCGGCAGAAAAAATCCAAAATTACTGAGGATGTATTCTTTTTTAACGGGGATTTATATTAGAAAATCGGTTTTTTTTTAAACAGCTACTTGACCAGCCGTTATGTATGAAGTGCTAACCTAAAATTGGAAGGAGAATGACTTTGCATCCAGAGGAATAACCTAGATACAGAGGATTACTTGATACAGGAGAGAAAAGCTTAATGTAGCATTTGAGCAGACACAGGCTTCATGATTGTTTGTGCAACTAACAATGAGAGAAACCTGAGTTTAGACAGATGAAAAAAAGCAGATGGTACAAGTGGATTAAACCAATTTTACTTGCACTAAAAAAACCCTAATTACTATAATAATCACTTGAATCACTTACTCAATTGGGATACGTCCGATGAAGAGTTTTAGCTTCTCTCGCTTGCTTTTGTTGGCTTCGCTTTCTTCGATAAGTAGTTCTTGTCCATTGATGTTCAACTTCGGCTCTAGTTCAACCAAGTGCTGTAGAGGAAAACAAAAAATTTACTTATGCAGGCATGAATAATTGAAATAGTTGCAGGAGCTCATCCACCATGAAAGAAAAATGAAAAGTGTTTCATTCAGTGAAAATAACTCAAACAATGAAAACCAACAAGCCCTCTATTTCCTTGAAACCAGGATTAGACAAGAATTGTTTCCTGTTGATGGGTGGTTCACAACAAGATATGCATACCAGCTGTGTAAGGTGGTATCTTTGAAAAGAAAGTGGGAAACTTTGGATATCAAGTTTCAAGAAGATTTTCTTCAATATTGAAGTTTTTTTTTGGGGGGTTAATTTGAACTGTTCGGATTTTAATTCGTTGGGAGGTAAAATACTTTTTTTCTCTTTCTTTTAAAAGTTGTTTGATCTTAGAAGTGTTGTGAAGTAGATATATTGAGATATAATTATTTTTTACTTTTCTAATTACGACAGAAAAATAAAAAATTTATGGAAAATTTTGACTCCCGGTTCAATAGACACACAAAAAAGATCAAGAATTATGGGTAAAATGAAGAGTTGAAGTTGAAAAAATACTGACCTTCACAGATTCAACTTCAGTCAAGTAGATATGGGCCGTATCGCTGGGCTGACTTGTCTTTTTGTCGATGATCACACGTACTACTTCAACTTTCTCGGGTCCACCCAATTCAGCAGCCAACACCTTCAGAAGGGTTTCTTTGTTGTTGCTCCTACAAAAAACCGGCGATTCGTCTTTAAAAAAATTTCGTCAGAAATAGGACAAGACCTAGCAAACGAATAAAGAATGTCGCAATTCATGTCTCGGTGGTCACCCGTACAGCACTAAAATTTGTAATGATAGGACGCTTTGATGCAATGGTCACGTTTGCTCATACACAACTCAGGACCCATCTTTGATAAGCATTTGGATTAAAGTCAACTCCAAAATAAATCATCATGACCAAATGTGCTTCCAGTATTATACATTTCTTTTCATCAGATTTATATCATCGCTAACTTAGTGTTCTGTGCATGCTGTAAGGAATACTCTCGAAAAAGAAAAAACGGCATTGATTAGTCTCTGAAACTTATCGCAGCATATACTGACATTGCTTTTTGACACAAAACTGTCGAGACAAAACGCGACCAAAGGACAAAGGCATCGTTGAGTAAACTGTAGTCCTATACGGCAACCGGTGCTCTCTTGACATTCCTTACTTTACGCGGAGAGGAGAATTGGGTCTTTAAAAATAAAACTTTAAAATAAAAAAATAAAAATAAAATTAGTGACTATTTGTAAGATTGAAAGATATTGATTTTAGATTCTTAGTAATAAATAACCAGGCTTCACTTACTCTTCTGGAATGTTGCTGATAACTATCTTTAAGCTATCATCTCTCTTTTTGTCTTCCTCTATGATAACTTCTTGGCCACCTATTTGTAGTTTTTGATCCAGAGCTATCAGTTTCTGTTAACAAAACATCACTCGGTCCATGTTAAAATGTACAGTCTCTCTCACAGAAGTACAAAATGAGCTCTGCTCTCTATATTGTGCAGGCGCATATGTCTGAAACACTTCTCCCTCAGATGTGTCAGGAGTAAACAAATTTTAGTTATTTCTGTCAATGTCTTAACACTATGGCTAACCACGTAAAACAAACAGCAATTGGAGGGGGTTTGCGGGAAACATTGATTTCTTGGAAAGGGAGGAGGTTAAAAAAAATATTAAAAAGAAAAATCCTGTAAATTTGGAAAAAAATAGAGACAATATTAGGGAAATCAACGCAAATAAGATGACGTGACACCAAACTACTAATAAAGAGATCTAACTTAGTGATAAAACACTAATTAATTTTCCGTGTCATTCTACAAAAGAAAAACCAAGGTTGATAAACTTAGGTTCAATATTGGCTTCATTAAAAAGGTGTAACTCTAATTATCATACTTTGCGATACGCCTTTTTTTCAACAATTGCAAACCGTGCGACTCCACAGCCAAAGGGTGCAAATTTACAATTCGGTAGTTCTTGGCAAAAAGACATGCACTTTCTCTGACAAAGTGAAGGGGATGCAATCATCACACACTCTGTGAAACCCTCAATCTTAGAAGTTACCTCACTTGCCATAGAGATATGATGAAGGGTCACAACAAGAGTACTAATGCAAATTGCGCTAATTCCTTCATTTTATAATACCCTGACTTTCCTAGACCTTCTGACAAAAAATTTACTGTGAAACCATTTGAAACGTTAACAGTGTTTTTAAATAGATGGTTTCAAACAGATGTCTAATTAATTAATATCTCTTTCAAAATTGTCATTAACTTACATTTTTTGAGGAATTTTGTCTTATCTATGAAATTAAGAATTTTTTTCCATTTGACAGAAAAATGGTTTCGATGTGGTCTTCACTTCCATTAGGGTTGCCACAGAATTTAGTTCCCTGGCGTTTTCCTAATTCCCCCAGCACATTTTGGTAAAATTCCCTGACAATTATGGATATACCAGATGGTTTAAAAGACTTAACTTGAAATAGTTTCCACGCAAAATCTGTTGTTCAGACCCATTCTGGAGAGCAAATCAAGATGACGACAATATTTCCCTGACTCTTCAAAATTCCCTGACCATGGCAACTTTGTTCCATACATATTAGTATCAACTACAGCAAGTAAGACAAGCACCGATGAGAGGTATGGAGAGGTATGCGATTATTACTCCTTGAAATGTGACAATAATGAGCCTTTCAATCACACATCTCAAGTGAATATAAAAATCTTATCAGGGACCCAGAATCTAATTAACTCCAACAAAACAGGGAGAACAATAATTCTACAAGTGGTTGTGTGTGATTTGTTTTTTAAGGTGGCAAAAATACTCAGAAAAAATCATGAGAAATAGGTAAACGTTGCTTGGGCATGATTTTCTTTATGCACTGTAAGAAGTATAAAATAATGCTATTTTCATTCATCATGACTGCAGTGATGTTCGAGAAAGGACGCGAAACAGCGAGAAGTAGATGAGTTTTGCTCAAAATTATGAATGATTAGAGAGGATTCCTACTTGAGGACAAATTCGAAAATAGACCGTAAACATTTGTTCTGTACAGAGTCAGCAAAATAAAGCTCTGAAATTGAGCCTTTACAAGTAGGCAAAGGCTGAGGTTTTATCTGCTGTTACTATGCTGACTGTGAAGGCATAGCTTGAAGCGAATCTCTTCCTTCCTCTCTTTTTTTTTTTTTTTTGGTTTGTTTGTTCAAGTTTTATAAGTCATAAGGAAAAATACGATTGATGAATTTTACAGCAGGACCTTAAGTACCCAACGGGCCTCAGAAGTTATGATTTCCGATTTCATGCTCAATTATAACACCGATTAAAGAAACAGAATAAATTTCTATACACGGGGATGCTTTGAATGAGGTCTTGCAACATGAAAGTGAGAGCAGTACACTTAGCATGATTCATGCAGGAGCACAAGAAAGATGTATCTAAGTATGATGAAGTATTTACAAGAAAATTTCTGCAAATTTAAATTACAACCTTGGTGGTGATGTGCATGTGTTCCATGCTCTTTTTTTAAATTATTATTATCATTATTATTTGTTTTTAATAATGTGCACACAAATACAATTTTAAAAGATCATGGCTCATTACAAACTTTTTTTGGCTCTTTCAGCTTGATGCTGGTTAATTTATTTTTTTGTATGTATTTAGTTCCTGCACTTTTTAGATTACTTACTTTAACATCCTCCTCTATAAAATTCAAATACCTACATATAAGAAGAAAAAAAAAAGATCTGCATTTTTGAGTCCTTTCATAAGGCCAACTGCACAAGCTATGTGTTAGGAAAATGGACACAGGAATAAAATGCTCCACCGGCAATTATCTATTGGTGGATAGGAAAGAATATTTAGGTTATCTTCTCGCTGCATCACTCTTGAATTCTCGGCTGATACAAATACCAATATAATGTGCATTTTAAAAATTAAAATAAACAGTCACACTAAGAAAAAAGTTCCGTTACCTCCAGGGTTTCTCTGTCAGCAACGTCTGCGAAGTAGATTGTGGATGATGAGTAGAATGTGGGTCGCCGCCTCGTGCTTTGACGGAGTGTTACAACTTTGCCCTCACCAACGGCCTCTTCCAGCGCTGTCTTAATTGCTTCTGGTTTTGTGCTGCAATTGGAGAAATTTGGAAAATTAAGATCAACTAATGACTGATGCTTTACTCAAGAGGTAAAGAAAATCCAGGGTTGCAAATTCTACGTCACTCGGCAAGAAAAAGTCTCTTAAACAGTTAGAGAGATTTTAGTCAACATTTGTATCCAGTTTCTTCGCATGGGTCTTTAATTCATAAAAATACTTTGGAAAACAGGGATCAAAGAATGCTTGGGACATGGTTCAGGCTGATTTGAAAAACAAATTCGAATGAGTCCATGTACTTGATTAAAAACGCATTTGAAGGAAAATGTACTGTCATGAGGAGTTCCATTAAGTAATGGCCAGGTGCAGTGCATATGGCCGAGTGCGTAAGAAAGTGATTTTGTACGAAAAAAAAAAAAAGAGATTCAGAATGAACATGGTACTCACTCAGGTGGGAGATTGGCAAGGAACAAGGTCAATTTTTCGCCGCTTTCGTTTTTAACCTTTTTGGATGGGGGTTCTTCACCATTTGCTTCGTTTTCTTCATCATCCGATCCAGGTTCTTCTTTCACTTCCGTTTTAATTTGCACCTCGTTCTCTACCTTTCCTTCTTGCACCTCGCCATTTTGACTTGCACCATCTTCTGTGCTTGGGTTTTCTTCAGATTCCATGGTTTCATTTAGGCTCTGGTCGGTTTCCTCAGTTTCTTCCTCGGCAACTTCGGTTTTCTTTGCATTCTTCTTGGGGGGTGCACGTCTCTTCCTCTTGGGCGGCATTTTCTGAACATTGAAAAAAAAAAAAAGGAATATTATTAGATTTAAGTGATCATAGATGACTACAAGCAGAATGAAGATTACCCTTGTTCCTCCATGAAGGAATACAGAAGTTTTGATATGATTTGCAGAGCAAAAAGGTTAAACAGAGAATTTCTGGAAGTTTATCAAAGCTCCTACCTACGAATACAAAATCTTTAAGTACTGGATATCAGACCAGGAAAATTAATAAAATTTCGGTCTTGTTAAAAGGCATCTTTCCTCTTCCTTTCACTCATTTGTGTGAAGAAATGAATTTGCACCCACATATGAAACTTTAAGGGAAATGACAAGTAAAATTCATCAAAAGCTATTTTGAAATCTTTTTCCTTGTTGAAAATGATCCTTAGCACTCATGCACACGGGCTGGAGCTCGCGCATCGTTTGTTGAGACAAACGTCAATCTCCAATTAGCTCTGAATTCACAACACTCGACAGGTTAATACATGTAGTCAGGTGGCACCACTGGTGAATGGCGACATAAACAATACTTCGACATTTGTCTCAACATATGATGCTCGAGCTCCATCATCCTAGATTTACCTACTTGAAGGGTCAAATTCTGCTGAGATTTATGACTTAGTTGATGCAATAGATCGCACATTAAGTTGAAAATTCCAAAAATGTGAGAAAAATCACCTTATAGGTCAGTAAAGTTAGAACTTGCGCATTGCATGTTGAGACAAATGTCCATCTTTCAATAGCTACGAACCAGCACCACTCAATTGGTTAATGCATGCTATTAGATGGCACCGTTGATGAGAAGTGACAAAACAAATCTGACTTCAGTCTCAACATACGATGAGCAAGCTCTAAGACTTATATGAAAGCAATAGTAAGGCGGGAGCAAGATTAGACTTCAGTCTCAGCTGACGATGCAAAACCTCTAAGAAATGTACTCATTGCTTAGACTGGTCGTTACATTTTTGAGCGCAATCAAGGTATAGTGAAGATGAACTGGAGTTTAGAGATTCAGGGATTGATTTCTTATTTTCACAGTATGAATGATATTGTACTTACACCCACGAGTATTTTGAAAGCATTAACTAAGAAGTAGGTAAGCATGAAACGACATCTTGGCAAGCTTGATAACACACCCAATTCAGAGTGGCGTGTGAAATAAGAACAGAAATAAGATCCCACTCTAGAGGCACTGTGTTAATAAATCGGGTTGCACGCGTAAGCATAGATAGGGTTCTACATTTTGTGGAAAATGATGAGCCGTGCCTACAATTGGGTATAATTAAAAGAGGCTTGCGGCGGTCTAGGAGCTCGCACATCGTAAGCTGAAACAAACATCAAAGTATTGTTCACATCACTATTCATGAGTAGCGCCACCTGACTACAAGAATTAATCTGTTGAGTGATGCGAATTCAGAGCTAATTGGAGATTGACGTTTGTCTCAACATACGATGCGCAAGCTCTAGTAGTTTGTACATGGCGTCAACCGATAAAAATTTGAGGACATTTGTTAGGAATAGAGAATGAAACGATAATTCGGCCGGTCGAAAAGAACATGACCAGAAGAAACCGGATGGAGTATCTTCGTACAACATTAACTTGCAATTGAAGGGGTAGAAGAAAGGTCCTTGAGATAAGTTGAACCGCTTATGTAGGGATTGGTTACGGCTAAGGAAAGGAGCCGCCAGCAAAAATGGTTTGGCAAAGGAGTATTACTCGGCATTGGAAATAAGAAATCATCACTTACAACCCAATAAATAGCAGTGAAACTGGAATTTCGGTTACGGTGCCTAAGACGCAATGCGAGGGAAAAACCCGGCCCCGGCAAGTGGCAAAACACGCGTACGATAGTAGTGAAAAATAAATAATAAAACGATAAAATGACTACAGGGATGAAACAACAAGTACTTACGGTGATAATAAGTGGATGATCAAAGGAAAAGCACCGAAAATGAACTTAAATGATGAAAATATTTGAGGAGGTGAGCGCCGGGAGAGGAGATTGCTGCTGATGGCTTCAACAAAATGGCGGCGATTGGGGGAAAAGATGCTGATGCTGTGCGAACCCGTTCTTGAAGCGTGGATGCCCGCCAAGCGGCCAATCAACTTGCGTTCAGGCCACAAAAGACAACGGGCGCCTGTGACATAGGCAAAACTCTACACGTGAATGTATCTCTATATAAGTTTTAGGCAACTTTTTTTTATTTAAGAATGTGATGACGTCATTAGCGTTGTTCGTTGTGCGCATGCGCGCGGCAAATTCAAAATTTGACTTTCAAGTTTAGGTTATGTTATTGTTATCATCGTGTAATCGTGTTAATCGTGTTTTTCTTGAGCAAATTATTTGTGTTCTTGTGTTTTGTAGTGATATTATATGAATCATGGGCCCCCTAAGCTTCCATAGAACCCACAAATCACGTCTTTTATTTCTGTGGACTTTCTAGCTGTGTTTCATCTTTTGTGACGCGTGAATCTCACCGATAATATTGTCGCGCAAGAATGATTTACCTCCTCAATAACTCAATATAGTAAAACACTGTCTACTTTTTAGATGTTTTCTTTATTCTATGACTGAACCTTGATCATGGTACCCTCTTGGATTGTTATGACACTTCAGTTGCCTCTCAAAATTCACCACTGTCGACAACTGTCCGTCTCAAAGTCAGAACCTGTCAGTCCTGGCAAGTATTGCGTGTCACTAGTGAAGAAATATGACAATGAAAACTTTTTGTGCACTTTATTGTTACCTAAGGATCTGCAATCATCAGCTTTTGCAGTTCGAGCGTTCAATGTTGAGATAGCAAATGTTCTGGGGCGCACGAAAGAGAGTCAAATAGCTCTTATGCGATTAAAATTTTGGGAAGATGCTTTAGATAAAATTTTTCTCGATGCTCCTCCACAACAGCCTGTGACAATAGAATTAGCTAAAGCTGTGAAAAAAGGCATCAATAAGAGAACTTTGAAACGTTTGATCTCTTCAAGAGCTGAAAATTTGAAACTGTCCTTGTTTCCAAATTTAGCTAGCATGGAAGATTATGCTGAAAATACTGTATCTCCAGTTTTATATGCGCTCCTTGAAGCATCAGGAATCAAAAATGTCCATGCCGATCATGCAGCCAGTCATATTGGGAAGGCTCAAGGAATTTTCAACCTTATCCGAGGGTTGCCGTTCAACATTCAGTCCGGTCAGCTTTACCTACCGCAAGACATTCTGGTTAAAAATAAAGTTGTACAAGAAAATATCCTAAGAGGAAAAAGCAATAAACCCTTGCAAGATGCTATTTTTGAAATAGCATCAAGGGCAAAGCAACACTTGGATAAAGCAAGGAATTTAACGAGTAGTGTACCCAAAGAAGCTTATCCTATTTTTTTGCCTGCCTTTACTGTTGAATCAAATTTAGAAAATTTACGACTTGTTGATTTTGATGTTTATTCCCCTAAATTCCAGAAAAAGGATGGCTTACTTCCTTTGAAGCTGTACTGGAAAAAGTTTTTACATAAATACTAGGCTGTTTTTATAAAAAAATTTACCTAATTTTCACCTGCTGTTTTGTTCAATAATAAATGAATCCAAGTCACTGTATTTGTTTCTTATTATTCTGTAATTAATATTTTAAGGGCGCTACACATTTTACGCCTTATTAGTGTCTCTTTTCTGACCATAGTGAAGTTAAAAAACGTATTTTTTTTCTTCCTTAACAAAATCAGTATTTCCAGTTTATTAATCAATGAATTAATGTGTTAAGGATACTTACCTAGACTTTTTTTATTACTCAGGTTCTCATTGCTTTTTCACAAAGTGAAGACAATTTTCTATCATCTCCTTATCTTAATTTTTTTGTATTGAATTTGTTGCTTCCTTGCGAATTGCCTCTCTAAAATACCCTATAAGACAACCCCCCCCCCCNCATTTATTTTTTTGCTACATTTCAAAATACAGCCATTTTTCAGTAGCCTAGAGCAAACAGGTCATAATTAACACTTTTGGAAAATTGCGTCATTGCATTCTCAATATGCTATGGAGGCGCTTCACTAGTGCAAAAAATTTTCGAGTGATTAAGGTCAAATTCTAGCTGTAGATAGCATGAATTATAAGGAAAGCAATGGAGCTGCCAAGCAATTTTTCGATGGTACCTTGGAACCGAAAAAATGCTATTACAACCCCTTTGCTTTAGGATACTGATTTCTGAAAAGATGTGTTCCCAAATTTTGTCATCAATGGCTGAAATTGAGAAGGGCAAACCTCAGATTTTAATGTTGTGAGTCTCTGCTTACAGTTTATTTTTTTGTACAAAAACGAAGCAGTAGTTTCTGTTGAAATTTTCTTCACTCACTCTAAAAAACCATATGAAATTGCAAGGAAACATTTTGATTAAAACTCTTCAGAGAAAAGAAAACACGATCAAAGATTTTTCAACTTTTCAATTGAAATTGCAAGGAAACATTTTGATTAAAATTCTTAAGGGAAAAGAAAACATTATCAAAGATTTATTAACATTTCAATTGAAAGATGCATTTTTTACATTTAGCCATCAATTTTGACTTGATTTTTTTACTGTTCTAGAAACGTCAAAATTCTAAAAATAGATGGAGGTGGGCTTAAGTAAATAAAGCAAAGATATTCACCGGTACTCACTTCGACTCTTTTTATTAACCAAATTACAAATAATTTTGTAATACTTGAGAGAATATTCTCACATAACAATAATAACAGAACATAGTAAAATTCAGACAAAATTTTACAGTTAAAACCAGTATTTACACAATTACATATCAACCTTTTCCTATTAGCATTTAAAGAAATGGGGATTAAAATACTCATTATTTAGTATGTGGATAGAATTTTACTTGGTTGGAAATGTTTCTAGGAAATATTGGTGGAACTCAGAGGTAATCGGTGCAATTTTTTAAAGTAAAATACTTGTTGAAAAATAAAATTACTCCAGAGAACCACGCTGAGAAGTTCAAAAACGTAAACCACGTACATAATTACTGACTTGCACAATATTGAGCGCATGTCAGTAATTGTTAACATGGTTTACAGTTTTGTAACTGTTAGGCACCTGCACTCATTGCATAAAATGACGTATTCAAAGCCAAAACTACAGCTCTGTTATGAGAACGAGGTGTTCCTAACAATAGGTACTCCCTACTTCATTTCTTCATTATCTCCGAGTAACTAAAGACGCAAAAATCTTCAAAATAAAACAATTGATAAGAAACTTGGAAAATGATTGGATAGAAAGTAACAATGTCTTAAATGACTGATGCAATTTGGCTTAGAATTTTAAGTAGATTTTTATTCTTCATTACGAAAGTGTATGACAATTAAAATTTTTGAAGTTGAATTTCGAAATGAAAGTATACAGTAACAGAGCCTTAAATATAGTGATTAATTGTCTACCTGAGAAACAATTATATTTAAATCTAAGTTACTCTATTCATTCACCCCTGGAGAAACTTCTTATTCAAGTCATGAAGTACTTAATATATACAGAAGATTAATCTGAGGAGAGAAACTTTATTGGATAAATTCAAATGATAACAGGAAAAGTTATTCTTGGTTCAAGCACAAGACATTTTATGAATAGATTTTAATATGCTCTTTCTTCATAGAAGTGACATACTGTAGGATTTACTTGCCTAAAAACTGAAGACATACAAGGTATGGAAGAAACCTGCACATCCTTCCGCAAGAATATTAACTGGTGAAAATAAAAAGTAAACGCGTCTCTCACAAATTTAATAACCTTTAATTTAAAAGATGGCACCCTTCATGGAAGGATTATTCTTTAAATTAAACAGCAGGAAAAAAGACAAATATATATTTTAAAATTATACAAGGCTAAAAGGCGTTAATGATTAGGTGATCATTTTACAGGGCTTTCTGGCAAAATTCAGTGCTAACTACTTTCCATGGCACAAATTATAAGCTTTAACTCCACTGCAAGCAGGTCATTGAAATCGATAGACAATGAAGACAAAGCGAAAATGGAGCGATCCGATTTGTTGAATCAGGTGGTTGTTAAAAAAACTAGAAGAGTAAATGTTGGACTAACTATAGGGTCTCTCCTAAGTTGATGTTAGTCAGTCTATTAGGTACTTACCTCATTTGTCCATTGTGACCACCCATTTCAACCAATAGGATTGCTTCATTATCTCTTTGCCTATCGCTTTATCTATCAATTTTAAAAATTAGCTCACTGGAAAAAATAATTTATGGAAGAAGTTAGCATGACCCTGATGAAAGTATGTAAAATGAATAAGTAGATTTTACAATAAAAATTCATAATTCTGGACTTGAAGGATTTACAGTGCGGTCATTAGACAGGACTTAGGTATCTGAGAGTATCATGTAGAGCAAAGATATACTAGCCTATACATTCATTCTTTTTACTTTGATGACAAAAGCAAGAAATAAGTACAGGGTGAAAATGCAAAAAGGCTGAGGAAGTGCACAGATTTATGGAACTTTAAAGCTAGCAGTGTTGGGAGAAACCGTTGATATTAATATACTTTTCTTTTTTCCTTGATGTGTGGATGGTGTTGAAACCAGACTTTCAGCGGATTTGTTAGATTGATTAACCGAAGTTGATGGCTTTTCCAGAGTAAGCGGCCAGGTTTGCTTCTCTCAATGCTTCAGAACATGTCTGGCGAAACAAAAATAAAAACAATCAATTTAATGGAATTTTTTAGCCAACGTGCGTTAAAAATTAGCATAAAGCTGAAAATTTCAATACAGAGGGAAAATAGGGCTGTTCTGTCGGTTGTCGGTAAGCTACCGAGACAGTTCCATTAAGAAAAAGTTACGATAAGAGCGCTCTTGCCTATGGCGATCAGAGTTTTCGGACGAAAATAAGCTGTTGCCATTTGTACATCTGTTTCACGCAATCTGATAAACCGACGCACGGGGCAACAATGCATTGAGTGCGAGCTCTCAAAAATCTGATAAGGTCGCCTGTTAACGATATCATCGCCACTGTTGGTACTGCCGCCAGTTTCAATAAGAGACGATATCGATAGTGTTCCGGCAAGAATTCGTTTGAACACCCCTAAGGGAAAAAGTTCATACAAGCACGATTTTCCCTCAAAGAGATACGCTGTTTGGTGCAACACTGGTAACGACCATTCAGGAAGGCAACTGCAGACCTGTTTCGGCCTTATTGGGCCAATTCTAAGTGCAGCAGTGCAGCACAGCCTCCAGAATTTCCTGCTACCAAGCTCGCTCCAAGCGTCATGAATCCATTTGTTGTTGACAGAACAGATAAATGGCCCTTTTAAATGCTTGTTTGTTTGGTAAATTAAAAAATGAATTTAATGTTTCATTACTGAGTGAATCAAACTATTACTCTTAGAAAAAAAAACCGAAAAAAATGAGTGTTGGAAAAAATGGTGCCAAAAATCCCCATGCAGCATGATTGTTGAAATTGTGCACCTGCAGAGGGATCTGGACAGGACTAAGGAGGAATAATGGTACATGATTGGTTTGCTTTGCTCTCTTCCTCTTTGTCAATCTTTTGTTGGGTTGGGTTGATTTGACAAAAAAAATATCGGCATTTCAAAGGAAGAATTTGATTTATCCTTGATTTGAATTTCCATACAACATAAGAGCAATGAAAAGAAAAAACTGACAAAACCGACCAATCACAAAACTCAATTCTTCCTTTGTCAAGCTTCCTCCTGTCACCTTACACAAAAAGTCAACAATCAAGCTATTGGACAAAGAGAAAAATTTAATCAAATGTTTAAAAAATTCACTGCGCACATTAGAGGTGGAAAACAGTTCAAATTCTCCAGAGGCTGAAATGTTGGAGGGTTGATAAAAATTGAAAATGAGCAAGACATTCATACTTTGAACTGTTTCATTGGGGGTCACAAAGTAGAAATTTCTATGATCTCATTCTAGCTGCGCAAAACTAACGAGAACATGCGAAAGGTCCGTTACATTAGAAGTCGGCTTTTAATACTTCCTGCCCCCACTGTACATTTGAAGGTAGTTTTCCTGAGATTCTTACAAATTTAAGAACCTCCTTTATGATGTATCATTTAGACAACTTCAGTTTTTTTTAGTGTAGCTGTTAAATTGCTTGAAATAAAAAATCATGGTTGAAAACTGGAGCTCACACGAAACAAAAGATAACTTTCACCAACAAGAAAGTATCTGCCGTCTTCATTTCAGCGTTGAGGTTAAATACACGAATCAAGATGGCGAATCTTCTACTTCACTCTAAAAATATTCAAATTTATTGGCATGAACTCTGACTGATGTCTAAGGAAAATAACTCTTCTGTCTTTCACTTACAAAAGCAACACTTCTTGTGATAAACAAATGCTGCATTCATAAAAAAAAAATAAATATATATGTAGATACATAAAATAAAACATTTTAATTACCGGGTGAGCATGGCAAACTCTAGCAATATCTTCACATGATGCACCATATTCCATTCCTAATACAGCCTCATTGATCAGTTCTCCAGCACCCTGAAATAAGAATAATATTATGAGAGGATGAAATAAAATGTAATTCCTAAATCACGTTTTTGGAATTGCACAAAATAACAGTTGAACGTGCGTGAAAGTTTTAAACTTTACTCATGTTAGTCATATTTGAAAATATAGAGGAAAGAGAAAAAGGAGCGAAACTTACAGGTCCAATGATATGACAGCCAAGTAACTTGTCAGTGTACTTGTCGGCTAGAGCTTTCACAAAACCATCGACATCGTTGTTCGTTTTCGCTCGGCTGTTGGCTGCGAATGGGAATTTTCCAACTTTATATTCAATTTTCTGCAAAGAAAAATGGGCGAATTATTGATTAATTTTTTCAACAAGAGAAAATTTAAAAACTACAAGAAGAAGGAAAAAGAAATCACACGCTGAACGAGTTTGTTGGAGTTACAATAACCTTGCCTTGAAATGGGACAAATACACTTCAAAGACCGAAGACATCGTTGAGCTTGAAAGGAATGCAGTCTTTGAAAGGATCTTATATTTGATACTTTTTAATAAAAGGGAAACCGAAAGGAAAGTGAGGAGGGATTGGCACAGATTAGTCCTTTGCGCAGAATGTAATTTAAACTTGAAAATTACATCATCCGAACAGGAACAATTTTCTGTACAGTCATTTCTATCGATTGGATTGAAAAATTTATTTTCTAGATTTCAAAAGCAAGCTCTCTAGTGCTCCAAAGAATACATTGAGAGTGGTTTAATTTCACTTTTCAGCCAATAGGGTGCAGAAAGCTACACTTTAGTTAACTTATTTTGTTCTCTATACCTAACCGATACCATTTTAAGTAGCTTCCTATTCTACCAAAACCGGTTTTTTTTAACTGCAAAATTTAGACTGCCATAACTTCAGTTTTATTAGATATTTCTTCCCTTAAAATCTGTTGAAAACTTCCGTCCGTTCTAGTATTACCAAGAAAGATGCTGCCTTAGGAGTAGAAAATCCAGCACTTGATGAGGAGTTTCAAGACCTCCTTCGTAGTTTATTCCTCCTTGCACAATTTCTTTATGTTATGATTTTTAATAATGAAGATTATCTCTCTTCTTTTTTGCTTTTGCTTTTTTTTTATCATTACCATCTCTGTATGTATAATGATACATTTTTATTTTTTAATTTTTCTCAGCTGAAGATGGAACATATTTAGCCCCGAAATGTCCAGATTTTAATTCATGCGTTTTTTTAGCCTTGACCCTGTATTTGGTGTTGATTGTATATACATATATATACATACACAAGACGCTTTTATAATGGGCTTGAGTGCTCTGCGACACCTAAACGCCATCCTTGTCTTTCAAAACGAACTAACTAAGGAATATGATTTCTGTCCACAAAGTCAAAGCTGTGCAACTTACGTCATTCTTGAGATCTTCCTCTGTTCGGCCAACCCAGCCAACCTCAGGGTGAGTGTAAATGACTGAGGGTACGCAGTTGTAATCAATGTGTACAGGTCCTCCAGCAATACCCTCAAGACAGACGATTCCTTCATCTTCGGCTTTATGGGCCAACATGGGTCCATGAATGCAGTCTCCAATTGCATGGATGCTGAAAACAAAGCAGCAAAATATATTGAAAAATACATCCACTGAGTAACTTTTCACCTGGGAAAGAGACCCCATTGCTACTCAATAATAATCTATTTAGTTGAATGAAATTTTAAGACAGTGATGAGAAAATCACATTTTGATGGCCAAAGTGCGAAACCACATCTCTCTATTGCGGAGTTTCAGAATTTCCGCTCCTATTTTATCTATTCGGAGAGAAATAAGCCAGCCTTATAGACTCCAATTTATTCAGAATATTCTTTTGACTGAGAAGAAAAATCGAGGTTTCCAAGAAATTACGTAGACTAGTTTTCCAAAGAAAAAATGAAGTACGACAGGAAGTTTTCAACGTCTCAAATGGAGATATGTGCTTTTGCACTTTGGTTGTCGATTAGTGCTTTAAAGCAAAAATTGCCATTCTTCTAATTTTGGAATGCTGTGGCTTGGACCATCTTGGATTATTTTCCAGTTTTTAAGTTGGCATGTTGATGTGAGGTTTCAACTGAAAAAAAAAAAACACTAAGAAGTGGCCTGAACTGTATGTAACAAGGTGGAAAAATGGTGCTGGGTCCACACCATTTCGTGGGGCAAACAAAGCTTTGTTTTCCTGGTGAAATGGCGTGGACCCAGCGACATTTCTCCACCTTGTTTCAACTAAATTTGTGTTAGTTTTAGGGTGTTCTTATTTTCAGTTCTTCAGATTTTTTTGTCAGACCAATTATTACAAACAAACTAGGAGTAGCGAGGTAAATTCAAGAAAAAAAACACAGAGAGAAAATACAAACATACTTGGGAATGACGGTCTGGAACCTGGAATTGACAGGTATTCTTCCCTTCTCATCGCGCTCAATTCCTAATTCTTCCAATCCTAGGTTATTCGTGTATGGACGTCTTCCGACGCAGACTAATAATACGTCACAGTCGAGCTGTAGGCAAAAAAAATAATTAATTTGAGAAGAAAAAAGAAGGCACCTAATACCCTGATGACCAAGAAAGAAGGACACACGCAGTCCAGATGTTGGCTTACTATAAAAGCAGACTAAGGAGAGGTGTGATTACTGTGTCTCTGAAAAAAGCTCCTATTGAATGAAAACTTAAAATTTTCCTGAAAAACTCGTTACATGCCACAGATAATTTTGCTATCGGCCGATAAATTTTAATAGATAGAGTGCTTGCTGAAACTAAGTTATTCTTTAGAAAATTTTAAAGGTAGACCATGCAATTAAAAAGTTCACTTCTGAAGAGCATTATTTTCTACATCTTCTCCTCAAAATGATTAATATCCTGAAAAGCAAAGGCACAGTTTGTAATTAAGTAGTGATTTTGAGAGTTTTTGTGCTCCTCATAACTAGTATTTTCTTCCAGAGGGAACTGGTGATTAAATTTTGAATTTGTAAAAAATCTTTGTTGCTATGTATCTTGATTTTTGCTGCCTGTGCCACTTTATAATCAGTTTCGGTCTTGCCATAACAAGGGATCGATGATTCATTTTTCTTTTCTTCTCATTGCAAACGAAATTGATACATTTCCAGACGTCAAAGTTTTCAATTAAATTCTCGTCTCTTATCTTTCGAATTTCGTGATAGCCTTTCCCCAAATCAAGTTGCTACTTTACTATGTTATTTAGGCTGATTAAGTTGTTTGTTATGAAATTGAATTAGTTGATAACGTGGATTTTACTTTTCATTTCCATGAATGTGACTGAATACTTACAGTTTCTTGAGTTCCTTTCTTAACATTTTCTACTTGAACTTTAATATTGCTGCCTTCTTGTGTTGCTCCCACAACTTTTGTGCCGAGCTTGAAAGCCATTCCTTGTTTCGTTAAGATTCTCTGGAAAGTTTTAGCTACCTCTCCGTCAATACCAACCCCTCCGATGGCGTTTTGGAATTCAATGGCAGTGACTTGGGAACCAAGCCTTCCCCAGACGGAGCCCTGAAGCAAAATAGGCAAAATTGCGATAACTAAAGATCAAACTGAAACAGTGAACATCATCTTGTAGAATTGATGGTAAAATTTAGTATGCTCAATCTATCTGACTTCATACACCTAAAAAGTTGCTAAGGAGACTGCTGCACCAGAATATTGCTGATTAACAGATTTTTTTCTGGTTCTTGAAGGACTGGTAAGCAGAAACACAAACTGACCAGAATAGCTTTGAAAACACCAAATAAAGAACTTGTGAGATATACGATGTCACTCTCTATATTTTGTAAAGGATGATATTTCCTTTACCTACAATACGACCATGCTAAGAAAAATTATGGTAAAAGGAATGTAGTGTTATAGTATCTATTCATGTGGCGATCTCTTCATGAGGAAAATCAGTGGATGTGTTCTATCAGAAAGTTGAGCATAAATTTTTTGGAATAAGAGAAATAGAGAAAAAATTAATAAAACATGTCAGTTTTACTATGCAAAGAAGTTGAGCACGAGGAAAAACTGAGACACTTAATTGCGTATACTCTGTTTTATTCTCACCACAGCATTCATGCCAGTTTTATAATTCAAGATTAGTAACTGATCAGGGACTTGATGAGCTATGGTAGGAAGTAAATATGAATACAGATTTCCAACTTACAAGCTCTAATCCAATGACTCCAGCACCAATGACTACGAGCTTTTCAGGAACTTTCTTGAGGGAGAGTGCTCCCGTGGAGGAAACGATTGTCTCTTCATTCACCTTGAAAAAAAAATGAGACCGTACAATGGACAGGCAATGACAAATTCAAGATTGTTGTGAGAGTACGGAATTTAAAATTTTGGAATGTAAGATATATTGTCCGTCAAATTATTAAGCTGGAGATGTGTTGCAATTCCTACTTGACAAACAACTCATCAAATGAACTGCTGCCAGCTAGGAAAAGCCTGGTTCTTTAAAGATCTTCTTGCAATGGGCCTTTCTTTTCTGTAGGGTGGGGGGTTCAAAACAAAATGCCTCCATTACTGGAAAAATCAAAGCTCGATGATTACGGATACCTATCTTAAGATTAAAAAAATAGCCCATTCTGGAAGTATTCCTCCCTCTAAGTGTAGCTTAAGTAAATATAGAAATCAAAATAATTTCACATTCATTTAGGATCTTTCCAATTTAAATGATTTACCTAAACTACTACTTGAATAAGGCTGGCTAGTATGTGAGAATACCATGAATAAATAGCCGAAGACATCTTACCTCAATTCCTGGGAAAGGAGTAACTTCAGAACCAGTGGCGATGACAATATTTTTTGTTTTGATGGTGTCAGTCACAGTGCCATCCGGTCCCAAAACAGCTACCTCATTGGGGTTGAGGATTTTGCCATGACCATGAAGTTCCGTCACCTGCAGCAAAAATACATAGACATTCAGAATACTGATTCGCAAAGGTAGCCCTAGCCAGCTCCAGTTGAAAACTACAATTGACAAAATTGCGAATAAAAATTGGTTTAAAAAATTTTGCATCAAAGTAGTGCAATACATCTCCTTTCGCCATCAAAATGTGATTCAGAATTATTAATAACAACAAGGATCTGAGCTGTCAAAAAAGTGATTTTCCACTTTACACTTTTTTTTTTTTTTAGTTTTCTTTATAGGTAATATGTGGAGCGCATGACTGCAATTGGATTATTAATATTTGCTGAGCAATTCAATCACATGGATGTGATATACTGAATGCTGGTTTCATCATAGAGGGGCTGAACTCATTCAGTTATTAAGAAAATCACCCGATTGTTGAAATATGAGACTAAAGAATGGCACATATTTTCCTTCATGAAATTACAAGGCGTTTGATTGAATTCTTTTTTTATTTTTTATATGAAGTTTGATTGACAAGTAATTAATGAACTTCAAAAACAGATATTTTCGTCTTAACTTACAAGTTATTTTTTATGATATTTGGCGTGCAGTTCCCTGTATGGAACTATAATAAATTCAGGATTGCCAAAGAATTTAGTTAACGAAATTTCCTGACATTTCCCCAAGACATTTTGGTAAAATTCCCTGACACTTACGGACGTTATAGACGATTTAAAAAACGCAATTTGAAATTGTTTCCATGCAAAATCTGTCGTTCAATTGTTAATCCTATTCTGGAAAGTAAATGAAAGCGACTTAACACTTTTTCCCTGACACTTTCGTCATCTTCCCTGACATTTCCAGGTTTTAACTGACTTTTTAAAAATTTCCCTGTTTTCCCTAATCGTGGCAACCCTGAATAATGCATGCATAGAGGTTAAGAAACACTATGATTACCTTGTTGGATTTGAAGAGATGAGAGATACCTCCTGTTAACGATTTGACAGCATTCTTTTTAACTTGCATTAATTTGTCCAAGTTTAACTTCACGTCGGCAACTGAAAATTTAAAACAGATGATCAAAACCTGATTGTGAGGGCAATTTAATGATGACAAGAAAAGGATACCACTATTATAATACAAAACTTCAGGGACCAGTTGGCATCAACTGATTTTGATTTATTTCAGGAGCAGCATATTTAACACATGCAAATAATCTTAGGGACAAAAGTTAGTTTCAATCCTGAACTCAAAATTTTCTCACTTCGCAAAGAGGTCAAAAGTATACTATGAGCTAAAATGTTTAAAAAATCAGTGTGTTTTTCTTCTTCATTTTTTGCTGACAAAAGAAAATCTGCAAAAAATTTTCTCTTTTGCTTGGGATTTCCTCTAGCCTTGTGAGTGCCGTATTTTGGGATCGAGTATTTTTTGCACATAATTGATTTACGACTGGTATCTTCACACTAATAGACGCTTCAGTCTACAGCTTGATTTTTTCTTGGAATATTTGATTTGTATGACCAAACAATATATACACATACTAGATACCAGTGTTCGAAACTCACGGGCACCAACATGCCAAATGCACCCTAGAAAACAGTCATGGCGCCTAAAAAATGAAGGCTCTGCGCCAACGTGGCCCCTAAAAATTGCCCCCCACCCCTCAAAAAGAAAATCCTAATTTTTCTGTTGAGTGATTTTTTTTAAATTTCGGCGCACAGCACCGGATTCTGACTTTTCACTAAGTACGCCGTGATATATAGGCAAGAAGTCAATTCCGCCCCTAAAAAATATTCAATGGCCCCTAAAAATCGAGCTTGATGAGCTCTTCAGGAGGAGCCTCGATGGCTCCTGAAACTCGATGGTGAGTTTCGAACACTGCTAGATACCGATGGCCTAAGTATTAAATCTTGTACTTCCATTGCACAGTTTCAAAATTTCTGTTCCTATTTCATTACTAAAAAAAACAAGCCAACTTTATGGCTTGAAATTTACACAGGATATTCTGCTGATAGAGAGGAAAATCAAGGTAGTTTTCGCGAAATTACGTTGAATAGCTTCCAAAATAAAAAATAAAGAAAATTCAAAAGGGGACACTAAAGTGACACAGGTTCCTATTGATGGTGGTGGAGTCTCCAACTTTTTGCGTTGAAAATTGTAGTCCAAAATATCTTCGAAAAAATGTGATAAATTACCTTCAATTCCTCTCTCAGCCAGCTCTCCTGAGTGTGCCATGTGATAGTAGTGAGAGTTATGAAGTAAAGCCTTTGATGGAATGCAACCAACATTGAGGCAAGTTCCTCCAAGGGTTTCATTTTTTTCTACGCTGACAGTCTGAAAAAAGGCAAAAGAAAGTTTAGAAAATCATCATAAATAAATTAACAGAATTTTAAAGAGTTCAATTGTGATCCATTTCATTAAACACAGGCTAGCAATTTTTTGAAATGAGAATTTGAGAGGCAACAAAAACTCGTATGAAATCATGGTTCATACAGCACTCTCTAAGAATTTTGCGATGAATTTCTAGGAGAAAATTCCTTCAAAACTTGGCTCTAAAAAAATATTAGAGAACTTTCCAACTTGACTCAAATCTTCAAAGAGGTGTGATCTAACACTGTTGACACATATTTTAACAAACTAGCTTAACAGAATCTCATAGGCAGATTTCATTGGACCAATAGAAAGGGGAACAATCTTGTGTTGATGAGTTTCATAAAGCTCATGGCAGCCTTAAAATTAGTGAATCATGAATAATTCCTGATTTTTTGTCTCCAATGATGTATCAGGGATTCTATAATTTTTTCAGTTTCTGATTTCCTCGACTTTTTTTGTTATTTCTTAACTCTGAAATTTTTGAATTCCCTGATCTTTGAACAAAACTTTCACTTCAGGTTTTTCCTTTTAATTACTTACGATGGCTTCTTTTAGATACTGCTCAAGAAATTCCCTGGCTGTTTCTATGAATTCCCTGACTTTTCCAGGTTGCCGCAAATTTCTAACTTTCCAGGTTTTTCACACCGCCAAAAACCCTGTTTATTAGCCGTATATTTTTCGAAGATAATGTGTAAAATGGAAACGAAAGATTGCCAAGGGAGATTACTCACCTTGAAACCAAGTTGTGCTGCTTTGATGGCAGCTACGTAACCACCAGGTCCTGATCCGATGACGACAACATCAGCATCATGATTTGTTGAATAATGCTTTACTCCGCAACTTACAACTGATGGTAAGCGGGCATAACAAGTGAGGGGCTGCAAGCAGAGAAAACTTGATTTAAGAGGAACAATTTAACTAACACTTAAGTTACTCAAAAAGAATCAAGCTTGCAACAAAGCTTGAAGTTTTTAAAACTGTTTTAGACATAGTTTTGAACATGAGCTGCTTATCTTGAACTAACTCTTCTTTAACTGGAGAGCAAAAAATCATAAACATCACTGTATGAGTAGTTTAGCGTATGACCCAGTGCAGTCTAGCTCTTGAGCTTGCCAAATTTTAACCCATAACCATGAATTCAGCAGTTAAATAAAGTTCTTGCGAAATAAGTTTGAGCAATTTGAGAGCGAAATTGAAGATACGCCATATTTTCATTCCCGTGTTTATTTTCAATGTTACATTGAGGACGGCAGATCTTCTGTCGCAGTCTATCCTAGACATCAGTAGAGCTAGCTTCTACGTTGTTGGGACTAAACTGAAACCTTCCTTACATCAGTACAAGTCAATGGCGCCATCATTAACACTGAACTATTGGCGACGTCACGTGCCAATGACAGACACTTGAATAACTACAGAATTCCCCATCTTTTCATGTGGAGGTACTAATTTAAAATTCTTTGAGACATGTAAAACATATTTGTTTCTTTAAAATGTCAACTGATTCCTGACACTTGTCATAGGTGAGTGGGAATATAACTTGGGGATGTGTTGAAGTGTCAGCTGCTGACATTATGCCTGTCCTGCGATGATTTCAGTAAAAAAGCATTACGATTGCCAAGGTGTTATCATGTATCAAAGGGTACTGAATGGGGCTTATCTATACATCTGCTTTAGTTTCTAGGTACAATAACCGAGCTCTGAAACTGCTGGTCCTATCCAGAGTCTAATTAAAAAATTAGACATGGCGTTTGGTCCTGGAACAAACTTTCTTGCCCTTAACTGCTTTTGCTAAAGTTGTGGGCTAAATTATTTATCAACAATGATGTGTGCAAAACATGTCAGGATTCTAAAAGAGATCTGAAAGTTCCGAACATGGTCAAGTTACGGTGTGTGACATTATGACTCGGCATGTGGAACCAATTGGTCGGAGGTTATGTAAAATAATCAATAACTAGGGTCACCTCGAAGGGGATTAAATTTTTATTCCTCGAAGGAAAGGGATGATGAAATGATTCAGTAAATTAGCTTCCAACAGGAGCTTCAGGACTAACTTGCAACCTTTTCAAGGTTATAATGATATGGTGAAGGCAAGTTGCACCGAATTATGATACTGAAATACTGAATGAAGCATGAAAGGCGAAATTAACTTACTTTTGAACTGCTGACAGCTCTCAAGACGACGGAGGACTGCATTTTGACCTAAATTACAAATAAATTTAACTATCAGCGACCCCTCACAAAAATTCAAGCCCTCGGAAACTTCAAAATTGATAACGCGGACAGCGAAAGCGGAAAGTCAAACATGAATGAGACGTGAAGTGAGCTACTTTTTCGCTCCAAAGTGCTCCACATCGAAATGTTTTTGAGATGATTAGTTGCAAACCAGCGAAATGGGCGCGATTTCGAAATGTATTTATTTGACCAATTTGACTCTTTTGATCGGTACAAATGTACTTTTTTGCTCGTGCTCGTGCTCATTACTTAAGTATCAGACAAACAATAAGATGGGAGCGGAATTTCAAATCTACGTATATGCAGAATGCAGCGGCGGAGGTAGGGGACGGCCGCGGGGGGGCTCTTGCGTTAGAAATTTGACAGTAATCAGTAAGTTCGTCAAATTAGAAGAGATCTTCGAAAAAATTTTGAGTCCACCCCCTCCCACCCTGACAAAATTGCATTCCCTCCTAATGACTGTAGCTCTTCCTATTCATTTTGGTGAAATAGCGCTACTGAAATTGATTTACTTTCTCTGATAATTCAAATACAATTTATTTACTTACTTAAAAAAAAGTGGGGGAAAAGCGGGCAATTAAGTAGATAGAGTCTTGAATAAATTATAAAATCAAATTTACATCAGTTCTCAGTCCACTCCGTTAGTATACCATGATTAAGTGTGTTCATTCGTCACATCAAAAGGGCAAAGGGAGCGCTACGTCATTCTGAAATCAAAAGACCATTGCACGTGTGCATTTATTTTTTGATACTGAATCGCGCAGAGAAAAGGTCAAATAAATGATAACTATTTGGCATCGGTACTCTCATACTGATCGCGAAGCTCTTGACGTCATCGCAGAAGAGGTTTGGCGAGGTTTGAATCCTCTACCAAGCTTGGCAGATTACTGTAATGAAATTACTGAAATGAAAACACGCAGAAAAATAAAACGGTATATTACATAGAGATGTAAAGAACCACCCAGCACAGTCCTTTCGCTGACTGGAGAAACCAGCTTGCTGCCAGTGCAGTGAGTAGAGAGTCAGTGCCCTAAATGACCTCGCGAGCGCAGTGACACATCATAGTTGAGCGTTGATAGCTCAGAAAAGTCGGAGCGCCTGCATTTTTGAGGCTATGCAAATCAGATATCACTTGAACACGATTAGTTGCATCTGCAGGCGTTACCTCCGACGTTGCGTTGCCATGTCTTATCTATCAGTTGGACAAGGTTATTCGCGTTCTATAGTGAATGAAGTGGTAATTTTTTTCTTCCTATCTTTCTTCCTTTTATTTATTTTCATTTAATAATTTTATTTGGTACAGGGAAGATGTAATGCGTCAATAAGTTGAGAGCGGTGAGCTTCATGTCTTCCTTTATACTGTCGTGCCATGGAAAAACGTCGCATGAGCATTCGAATGTTGCCAAATTTTCTCTCAGAAAATTTTTATTTTTGAAGAAAGATATTAGTTTCTCCTCGAAATCGCTAACAAAATTTTCTGAGAAGTTGGAAGAAAAACATCCAGAATTTTCCCAGTAAATTCATTTTCATCGAAGAAAATTTGGCAACGTCTGAGGGCTTATACGGCGTTTTCCCCTAGCATTGCAGTATAGAGGACGAAAATTGCATTGCAAATCAGACAGTTTTTTAGCCTGCAAGGTGAAAATTTTTTCAAAATTTCGAAAAACCTCTCTCGATACAGCGGCGCCGTTTGAACTACCTATAAACTTCATACGGCCATAACTTTCATTTTAAATTTTTCTGCGGCAGTGACCAAAATCGTTCGGAAAATGATCATGGTCATACGCAAAACGTCAATCGATGGCTAAAGTTAAAAAAATGCGTATTATCGATTGCACCGTTGCAAATTTTCGCTTTTCTGTTCCTTTTTTTTAACGGGAAACCAACACGCAGTTTTTCATTACATTTTTGTGGGTTTTTTCTTTATAAAGCAATAAATCAGTGATTTTGAAACGCTTCAATGGAGGTATTCAATTTTATGAGTTTGGCCATCAAAACGTAAAACTCGTCAGGGACTGGTTTGGTTTATTGTTAAAGAATGACATCAACAACCATACTTCAACAAAAAGAATAAGGCTAGTAATGACTATGTTGCTTTACCAGCCATTAGCTCAGAGCAACGATAATAGTGAACTAATTTTCCAACTTAACTTAATGCACTACAATTACAGTTTTTTTTTACAATTTTGGAACAGTTTTACAGAATTTGGTCAATGAATGCTGATTTTAAACAATCAATAAAAAGAGATCCGCACAAGAGTAGTGGGAAATTTGAATTGCAAAATAGAAAAGGAAAAAAGAAAGCTTCCTATTTCAATTTTACTGCGATTTTACATCAGAGGAAGCCCCTTCAATGAGTGAATAGACAACATATACAACACCGCTCCTGATGGTTTACATCGTGATAAAGGATGCCTAAAACGCAACATATTCCAAAAAAGACGACTTTTACAAAATCTGACGAAAATGTAACATAGTTACCGTGGGAGGAAAGTCTTCCCTGGTAAAAATTGGCGATAGAAGCTGCGTTTCAAATTACCATAGGAATTCTTATAGCCGGCTAAAGAAAGCAATAGAGAATCGTATAGCTGGCTGTAGAAAGCTGAGCAAATCATATACCCGGGCTATACGAAGCGATAAAAAAAGTATACAGCCGGGCTGTAGCTCCTATCGCCGGGCTTTACACTTTATCGCCATCGGCTTTAAAAGGCTATAAGAAATAGTGTAGAAATTCGTGCGCTTTGGATATCATTAAGTTTGATACGGAACCACCATAATATTTACAAAACACACATTATATTTTCCTTTAATACATATCAACGGTGAAACTACCAAACCACGTATCTCGGTTTGCGACGTCGCAGACTTCCTGTCATACTTTATTTTTTAAATGAAAAACTACTTATCGTCCAGTCTTGAAAATTTCTGTGATTTTTCCTCTTCGTGCGGAGAAAATTCTATGAAAATTTCAAGGAATGATATTGATTTGGTCTACTTCAAAAAAATAAAATGCGAGCGTAGATTTTTTAACACCGCAAACGAGATACGTGGTTTGGTAGTTTCACCGTCGATATTTTTTTTCATCAATTAAAATGAGAATAATCCATACCGTATGTGCAAACATTTTAAAATCATGGGTTGAAAAACGCTGACTCCGCTAGATTATATATTGGAGCCTAACACAGAGCGGAGCGGCGTGCTGCCAGAGTTAAGCGCGCACTAGCGCCTACAAACCTAACAGGGATTCTTCACGCATTGCGCAATGCTTGAAGTATCCCTAATAGGTTTGTAGGCGCTAATGCGCTTTTCGCGCTGGCTACCTGCCCGCCGCGCCGCAGCGTGCCACGGCGCTTGAAGCAACTATTTCACACCAGAGGTATTGCACAGTATCATACGAAATTGAAGGCGCTCCAACATATTAGGAATGGCAGGCATCCTTCAAAAGTACGCAGCTCTCCGCGCAAAATAAATCAAGATACTACGGCCCAACAATAGAGCGGTAGTCCAAAAACTCAATAAGTCCTAGCATCCGTTATTAGTAACATTTAGCATACACTTTATCGCCTGACTGTTGCTTAATCGCCATCGGCTATAAAAGGCTATAGGAAATTGTGCATCCGGCTATAGAAGCTATTGAAAATCTTACAGCCGGCTTTAGGTCTATGGTATTTTGGAACACAGATTCTACTGTCACTTTCTACCAGGGTCACAAGGAACTGAATGATTTGCCGCTGTAAAAAAATAAAATAGAAAAAAAGCTCAAAGGAAAAAATTCCGAGATTTTGACAAATTTTAAGGTAGGGAGGGCTATGGACCAACCTCATATAATTTTAAAACCTGCAATATATTTCTTTTGTCTTTTGTATTTTTTGGAGTGGCTATAATCTTAATTTATTCCTTTTGCAAGGCTTAATTATTAACAATGCTGAACTGTGACATTGTATCCAAGTTTCAGAAAATTGACAGTTTTTATCATGTTTTGCAAGGACTTCCCTCAAATCTCCCTTAAACATAATGTAAACCACGCGGCCTTCCGAAGAAAGGGGCTTTCTTCAAAAAACGACCATAAATAAGGTCCCGATTCCGCTTAAGTCCGTCCAATTGATACTTACTTTCGTACACCCATTAGATCTGGATTAATAAATGTTGACTCTTTCTCCTCATTGAGCAGATTTCTGTCAAGCCCCCTCGGTTCCGTCAATTCGGTTCTTAGTCTTTAATCCACC